AAGACATTTCTGTACACACTATGTGAAATATATATACAAATCAAATGTTTAGTAATCATTAACACATTTTTCTATCTACAAAGTTCTTTACACACTACATATCAAGTAAGCATATATATATATATTCTACTAATCATATGTTTAGTAATCATTGAACATATTTTTCTAGCTACAAATGTCTTTACACAATGTATGTCAAATAGGGCCTATATATAAACTCTACTAATCAAATGTTTACTAATCATTAAAAATATTTTTCCATATACAAAAGTCTTTACACACTATGTAAAATGTATATACAGATTTTACTAATCAAATGTTTACTAATTTCTTTTTCATTCTATATCTTGATATAGATATCTACACATCTACAAACTTGATTTAAGTAAAACTAATTTTAATAATTATATATCCTGTCTGATTAGTAATTTAATCCATTTACTCTTTTAGTATTAATCAATGATGTAAAATATATTAAGAATTTAAAGTTTGTTTATTTCTAAAAACTATTTTCTAAATCTTCTGTACATAAATATACATATTTAATGTTTAACTTTGGTCTATAATAAAAACCTATGTTACAATACTTGAATTATAATATGGTCCTTAGTGGCTAAATACTTTAAGTTATAACTAAGGTAAATACAAATACATTATTTGATTATTTTGGTTACTTTTGGCTAATTTCAGCCATTTTTATATTTTCTTTTTCTTTTGGTTTTACCTTTGTTTCCTACATAAATATCACACAAAAATTTGACGTTGTTTCTAACACGGATATTTGATTCCTATATGAGTACTCTGTAGCAGTTTAATTTCTTTTCTTACAGTCTATATGAATATACCAAACCAATTGTTTTATTTCAGATTTTGATATAAATACAATCCCACTTTAACCGCCTGTAATGTACTCTAATATTCTTAGATGTTATTTGTTTTATAAATATAAATAATTTTATGGTTCTTTACTGCTACTGGCAGTTACATTTATAAGCGCACTTGGTATGTGAATATGTGATTTTATTTACAGGAAATATTATGGTCCTATATTGGTTACATTTCTTAAATTTTTTCTCATTCCTTGATAACATTTATTAAGTATAACAAATAATTTAAAAAAAATTCTATTGGACGTGTTTTGATTTTTTAAAAACATTTCTATTGGACAGTTTTTTTATCTAAAAGTTTTGTTGAGTTTTATAAAAAATTTATTTCATTAAGGTATTTTCAGAATGTCCAATGAATTGCTACTCTTTAAGGTATCTTCTTTGCCAGACAATAAAAAAAAAAGCATTTAAGTTTTGTAGATTTAAGGCCATGGATTTTAGGTGGTTGTTTTAATGGAAGGCTGTAGGCTGTACACTTCTAGTTAATCATGAATGCTTGCAAGTTGTATCATATCACCAGTGTTTTTATGTATATGTAGGCTTATATATATATTTGTGTATATATAGATAGAGAGATATATTGATAGAGATATATAGATATGTATCGATATAGAGATGTATAGATATAAATCTTAAGAAAGTCATCAATATTTTTATGTAGGTAATAGCTGCTAGATTGTAAGAGATCAAGTATTGGGATCCAGATGAAGACCAGCCTCTAGCAGAGTGTGAGATTTTTGTATTAAAGATTAACCCATGGCTAGTTCTAATGACAGGAAGTTTTGCTATTTTAATTGTTGTACATTTTTTTTGTTTAAAAACCACAGGTGTGGCTGACCTGATGAGGAAGAAATGAGGACCAACAGGCTACACTAGAAGGGAGACTACCAAAAAGATGTCAATAGAGCAAATAGAGATCATTAAGAGCTTCAATGGAGAAAGGGGAGACCACAAAGAATTCAATTTAGCTATGGGAGAAAACAGTGACTTCACTTGAGCAAGGGAGATCACAAGGACTTCAATGGAGCAAGGGGATATCACAAGGACCAAAGGCGCAAGAGATCCTTTACTAAACACATTCTGTTTACAAAAAAGGATGAGGGTAAACTCTACATCAACATAAAATCTTCAGTTTGCCTGAAACCATAGAGCTTTAAGCAAAGTACCCTGTTTGTTTACAACTTCAAGCAAATCATCTACTATGAATTACTGCAAATCTTACCAACTTAGCTCAGAGCAGGTTCATCTTATAAATCTAAGCTCCATGCTAACCAACCGTGTGATATAACCTCAGCACAGAGCATGGTTATCTTACACCTAAGCTCCTAGCTAACCATAACACGCAACTTCAATGTAAAGATCATATTCATGTTACATTCAGCAGAATGGCTACTCAACAATATCAGCATGGGGCTATGTTTCAACTGAAGAGCTGTCTGGCAATTTTTAACTTAGGTGCTATCAGGCACTTTTTTATTTTTCAACTAATAACATGCAGATTATATTAATTTGTTAAAACCTATGATCTACTTCATATTAAAAATAAAAAAATTATTTTCAAATGTACTTAATGTATGGTGTGTACATGGACACACATTTTTTAAATTGTTTAATGTAAGTAACCAATTAAATTAACTCCCTCATTATTGAGCCCTGTAAAAACGTTCTGTTGTCAGCATGGATTCAAATGAAAAATCGGTACTTATTTTTGTGTGTTAAGAACATTTTTTTTTGTAAAAATGTCTGATCAATGTATTTTATATAGACCACTTGTCTCATTTACATAAATGTTTTTTAAGTTGTTTTACTCATCAATTTCCAGATATAAACTATGCCAAATGGTTTTTCCTAACTTTTATTGTAGCACTCACTGGATACTTTTCCTTTCCTGATGTATGTGTTGCTCTGGTATGCTTATGCTGGGTCTGTCATTCCATTTTGTTAGTGTCATTCATATTGGTCAGTGTCATTCATATTGGTCAGTGTCATTCATATTGGTCAGTGTCATTCATATTGGTCAGTGTCATTCAGATTGGTCAGTGTCATTCAGATTGGTGAGTGTCATTAAGATTGGTCAGTGTCATTAAGATTGGTCAGTGTCATTCATATTGGTCAGTGTCATTCATATTGGTCAGTGTCATTCAGATTGGTGAGTGTCATTCATATTGGTCAGTGTCATTCATATTGGTCAGTGTCATTCATATTGGTCAGTGTCATTCATATTGGTCAGTGTCATTCATATTGGTCAGTGTCATTCATATTGGTCAGTGTCATTCATATTGGTCAGTGTCATTCATATTGGTCAGTGTCATTCATATTGGTCAGTGTCATTCATATTGGTCAGTGTCATTCATATTGGTGAGTGTCATTCAGATTGGTGAGTGTCATTCAGATTGTATCCTACTGGGTGCAACTATTTAAATGACTCATTTACACAAGTATACTACTTTATTCTAATTGCGACCCAGTTTTATTTAATTAAGGTTATTGGCTTGGACTTTACCAACACCCTCTTCTCAAATCACAACTTTCAAATATTTTTTCGCTTAATGCCAGATTTAATTGACATCACAAGTTTATTTTGGTGTGCTGCCTTTCTATGCTAGGGTTTGTTGCACTATACCTCAATCAGGGTTCCCGCGGCCTCCTGAAATTCCAGGATGTCCTGGAATTCTCCTGGAATTTGAAAAAAACCCATGGCACATGAGCTTTTTAACCTTTTGCGATCCCTGCTTCAGAGGTTTGTTGCACCAGAAGTTTTCAAGAAAGAATGCTCATCAGTTGCAACACTGCTGTGTTTAGACATGTCAACAACAAAAAATCTTTTACCACCGTCTGATGTTGACATTGGTTTCAAATCCAAAGCTGCAGTCAAAGAAATTAAAACTAAAGTGAGCCAAAGGGATATTTTCCAATTCCAGATGGAAAGCAGGGATTTTTTAAAAGCAGTTGTGACAAAGATTATAGACAAAACACCCATTAAGAACAAGATTGTTCAGAATTTGGATTGGCTGCAACCCAAATGTATTGTTAATGACTGTCAAGCTTGTGTCAAGCAGTTAGAAAATGTAATGTCCTGCTTGGTTTCAGTTGGTAGGATAAACCCAGACCACTGCGACAATATTAAGATGCAGTTCCTGCAGTGGCAGTGCAGCATTAGTGCTTCCTATTCTAGCATATTTTCCTCCTTTTGCTGCAGCACCGATCGCCTTGACACCTTTTTTTCCCAATATATGGGGCACAACGAAGATTATTCTTTGCTCTGGTCATTAGCACGCACACTACTGATGCTGTCACATGGCCAGGCCACAGTGGAGCGAGGCTTCAGCGTGAATAAGGAAGTCATGCTGGTGAACATGCATGAAAAAACTGTGGTGGCCAAGAGACTGATTTGTGACCATGTTGCCAGTGTAGGGGGATTGTCAATTGTCAGCATCAGTAGTGGGCTGCTCATTGCAGCTGCAGGTGCCAGGACGAAATATCGTTTGTTTTTGGAAGAAAAGGCAGAGCTGGAGAAACAGAAGTCTAATAAACAAAAGAGGGATGACAGCCAACAGGAGCTGGATGGGTTGAAGACGAAAAAAGCCAGGTTGGAGAAAGACATTAGCAGCCTGACTGAATCTGCTGATAAATTGGCTGAAAAGGCTGAAAATACAAACAGCCACAAGTTTCTTATTGAGTCTAACGCCATGCGTCGGGCTGCCAAAAGCAAGAATGAGCAACTGGCAGCTATTACTTTAGAAATACAATCTAAAGTGATAGAAATTGGCAGCTTGTAATGTGCAAACATTCAGTCTGTATATATGTAAATAACTCTATAAATAAATGTATATAAATCAGTGCATAAAAGCTCTCAAGTATTTCCTGTCTTAATTTGGTGAGTACGCTGAATATTTTTAGTTTGTAATAAATTATTATTATTTTATAAAAAAAAATTTACATAGTTTTATGCATTATTATATGTCCTGGAATTTTTTGATTCCTCCTGGAAAACTCCTGGAATTCTCCTGGAATTTGAAATTGACTTTGGTGTAGGAACCCTGCTCAATGCTAGCTTGCTGCCAATATGTGTATCCATACCTGTATGCTAGTAGCTGAAACTAAATCTGTATGTTAGCTTGTATCAGTGCCACTATACCTGTACACTGATGTTGCTATGCCGGTATGCATCATTCTGATCGTTAGGTTGAAACTATACCTGTATGAAATGTTGCAAAATTTTACATGTATACTAGTGTGTTACCACTATACCTGTATACTAGTGTTGCCACGGTACCTGTATGCTAGTGTTGCCACTATACCTTTATGCGAGTGTTGCCACTATGCCTGTATGCTAGTGTTGCCACTATACCTGTATGCTAGTGTTGCCACTATACCTGTATGCTAGTGTTGCCACTATACCTGTAAGCTATAACATTGCCACTATACCTGTATGCTAGTGTTGCCACTATACCTGTGTTGCCACTATACCTGTATGCTGTGTTGCCACTATACCTGTATGCTGTGTTGCCACTATACCTGTATGCTAGTGTGTTGCCACTATACCTGTATGCTAGTGTGTTGCCACTATACCTGTATGCTGTGTTGCCACTATACCTGTATGCTAGTGTTGCCACTATACCTGTGTGTTGCCACTATACCTGTATGCTGTGTTGCCACTATACCTGTATGCTGTGTTGCCACTATACCTGTATGCTAGTGTTGCCACTATACCTGTATGCTGTGTTGCCACTATACCTGTATGCTAGTGTGTTGCCACTATACCTGTATGCTAGTGTTGCCACTATACCTGTGTGTTGCCACTATACCTGTATGCTGTGTTGCCACTATACCTGTATGCTGTGTTGCCACTATACCTGTATGCTAGTGTTGCCACTATACCTGTATGCTGTGTTGCCACTATACATGTATGCTAGTGTTGCCACTATACCTGTATGCTAGTGTTGCCACTATACCTGTATGCTAGTGTTGCCACTATACCTGTATGCTAGTGTTGCCACTATACCTGTATGCTAGTGTTGCCACTATACCTGTATGCTAGTGTTGCCACTATACCTGTATGCTAGTGTTGCGACTATACCTGTATGCTAGTGTTGCGACTATACCTGTATGCTTGTGTGTTGCCACTATCCCTGTATGCTCTTGTGTTGCCACTATCCCTGTATGCTCTTGTGTTGCCACTATCCCTGTATGCTAGTGTGTTGCCACTATCCCTGTATGCTCTTGTGTTGCCACTATCCCTGTATGCTCTTGTGTTGCCACTATCCCTGTATGCTAGTGTGTTGCCACTATCCCTGTATGCTCTTGTGTTGCCACTATCCCTGTATGCTCTTGTGTTGCCACTATCCCTGTATGCTTAAGTTCTTTGCAGCTTGAGCGTGGCCACACCCAACCACCTTTTTACACTACACTTATCATCATGTCCAATTGTCCACTCATCTTGTAAACGAATTGCTATAACAAGATTATTTCATTTGTTAAATAGCTATTCATCTTAATATTAAAATATAATAGTTGAAATAATTTGTTTTGGCCAATTACTTAATAATCCAATAATTCGAATGCCAGGAAATTAGCCTAGTACATTTTCTAGTGTTCCCAACCCGCCTTAATTTTGATTGGCAGTTTCCACAGAGTATAAAATAAGGTTTCAATCTTGGCCCCACCCACTTTAAAATAAAGACGTGCAGCTTGCCCCGCCCACTATAACATTACAACTGGGTCACTTTACCTGTCCTCTGAGTACAGACCACGATGTTTACAAAATGACGTAGTCACAGCGTACCATCAGCGCCTCGTGACATGACATTTAAAGCTCCCTGATGTAATGTTTCCCTGGTAATATTCAGCTTCAAATCTCTGTAATGTTTACCCTGGTAATATTCAGCTTCAAATCTCTGTAATGTTTACCCTGGTAATATTCAGCTTCAAATCTCTGTAATGTTTACCCTGGTAATATTCAGCTTCAAATCTCTGTAATGTTTACCCTGGTAATATTCAGCTTCAAATCTCTGTAATGTTTACCCTGGTAATATTCAGCTTCAAATCTCTGTAATGTTTACCCTGTTAATATTCAGCTTCAAATCTCTGTAATGTTTACCCTGGTAATATTCAGCTTTAAATCTCTGATGTAATGTTTACCCTGGTAATATTCAACTTTAAATATATGATGTAATGTTTACCCTACTGGAATAAAACTAAATATTTGAAGTAAAGCTTGCAGTGATGATAGCAAACTTGAAATTCCACCTCTTATTGTAAGTCAATTATTTAAAGCCAGTTTAACAAATGAAATATTTTGTTTTAAAATTTGTAATCTATTTCTTCTCTTGTATTGTCATGAAGCCCATTTTATCGATTTAGTTTCAACATCAGATTCGCTGTTCCTATTTTACACATACCTCCTGACAGCTATTTAATTCTTACAACATTATCCCAAAAAATTTCGTATTCTAAAATCATTAAAACATGTAATTTTTGTCAAGTAATTCTGTTTGTTCAAGACATAAGTTTTGTTCTATGAACAGTGGTGTACAGCAGTTAAAGTACTTTAATACCAATTTAGTGGTATAGAATCGCGGTATATAAGTATAAAATAAGCAGATTTATTTTGCTTATTCATTAGCGTGATCTGTTTTGTACTTGAATACCTTTAATTCTCTCACGGGAAATAACTGATTAAATGTGTTCTTTTGTTTTATCATGATTACCTCCCCATTTTAATGCTTACAATATTTCAATGAGTTTTCTTAGTCAGGATTTCTGTGTTTGGTTTTGCTGAGATCTGGTTTCATGGTTCTATATAGTGGTTTAATTGCTGTATAATATACTGGTTTCATGGTTGTATATACTGGTTTCATGGTTGTATGATATACTGTTTTTTTATAACTTGCTTCTGCTTGTTTGTTTGTTTTTGTGTTATTGTTGCTGTGGAAATTATGGCTAATTATGTTTCTGCTGGTACCTTCTGCTGCCAGTTGCTTTGATTCTCTCAATAACCCGGCTATATTTTATAACTGGAGATGTGATTGTCTTAACACTTATTACTGTATGCTAGACATTGCTTGTACCACATAGAGCAGACAATGGCTATTGTAGTTTTAGTGATTAAACTAATAATATTCTTCATACAAGACTTTCTTCAATGTGTTGGTATTAAAACAATTAGTTTATTCCTTTCAATATTTAATTTATAAAATTCAATACATTCTTTCAATTTATACAAAAGTGGTTGTGTCATTAATAAATTAGCAACTGAAAAGCTATTATATGGCGTGGTCGAATGGTAGAGCAGTTCACCTCGAGCGTGGGATTCGTGTTCAGGTCCCGGATTCAAGTCTGTCCAACCTAGTCTGACGGGTACATAACTCGTTAAGGAAAGTAAAGGCGGCTGTTTATGGTACTGACAACCACTTTCATTTGCCGAGTTCACTGAAACAGAAGAACTCTACTTCTAATGTAGCCGTAAAGTTCGAACCACCTGAAATATGTAGAACCAAAAATGTCATGAACCAGTAAGACTGTTTCTCTTTTCAAAACCTGGTGACAAGATTCTATTTAAATAGTAAGGACAGAACATCCGCTGATTTAAGTGGAAAACGTGTGCAAGGCTTATCACAAAGCATAAGGTCATGCGTTGATCGTAATGAGGTTTTGGACTCGCGTAAATAATATAAAAGTACAGTACACAAACGAATTCTTTTGGGTAGTGGTTTATTCTGGGGTGACATTAAACTAAGCCAAACAAAATGGCGGACTTCCAGCAGTCTTCAAATAAAACGTCCCAGAAGGCGTCGTGTTGGCCCAGAATCCCTCGTTAGCACAGCCTGACACACCACATGTGTTACACCAGCCCAGCTGGGGAGGGGAAGTGGAGGTTTTTAGAGCAATTCTGTTACACATTGTCAGTAAGGCAGAGTTTCTTCAACCGCCCCCCTCCCCCTAACGAAATGGAATTTATATAGAAAACATATACTTTTACCAGTGTCCGTCCCCCAGATAATTTTTTTCGCCCCTCCACCCCCCCCCCCCCTTCTAAAAATAACATGCCCTGCGGAGAAAAAAGTCTGGAAGAGATACTGGTAAGGATTTGTAGCTTTCGCGCAGTTCATTCGTTACTCGTATAAGTAAACAGGCAGGACATATCCAATCAAATCCTCCAGACATGGCTGTACTCCGTATACTCGAGTAGTTGGAAAGTACAAAGAACTCGACGTTATCAAGTTATTTAGCACAGCCTATTGTCTGATTAAGAGCTCCATACCACGGAAGCACAGACGTACTCAGAGGCTGTGTAAGTGTCTAGCATTTAAAGAAGTGTTTGAGAGTGTAAAACCTAGAACTATCTCTTTATCTTAAGGCCTCACCACAAAGTTGAGTTCACTAGCACAAGGATAACTCTTGAAGCGACAGCTGGAGTTGATGCTCTCTGTGAATAGTCTGATGGCCCGCATGTGATTGCAGATAACGAACTCGTTGGCGCCTTGAATGTACATACATATATATATATATATATATATATATATATATATATATATATATATATATATATATATATATATATATATTTATATATATATATATATAGGCCTACAACACCTACCATCAACAAGCCCCCACTATCACAACACCTACCATCAATAAGCCCCCCCTCAAAAAACCTACCATCAATAAGCGCCACAACACCTACCATAAATAAGCCCCACAACACCTACCATCAATAAGCCCCACAACACCTACCATCAATAAGCCCCCACTATCACAAAACCTACCATGAATAAGCCCCCACATCACCTACCATCAATAAGCCCCACTACCACAACATCTACCATCAATAAGCCCCCACATCACCTACCATCAATAAGCCTCACTACCACAACACCTACCATCAAAAAGCCCCCAATATCACATCACCTACCATCAATAAGCCCCCACTGATCAATGGATGTAATAGGAGACTGGATACATCCAGGCTGATTGTGTCCACCGTTTGGATAAAAGTCAACGTGACCTACAGCCTGCATGATGCCCAGATCTGTGTGAGAGAGGACGTCACGTTCAAAGTTTGTTCAACTTATAGATTCTATATATTTTTTAAAGATTGACCGATATTTTACTATTAACGTAACTAAACCGTAGAGTGATGGGTCTTCTGATTTTGAAATACACGGTTAGATTATTTCAACAATAGGTTATTGCTACATTGTAAATATATTGCACAAGTAGAAATTTAAAAAAAAAATTATTTTAAAAATGTAATGGAAGTATGTGTTGTGCTGTGACGTATAGGTTTCAAGCATATCATGTGTTCTGATATGATATTTGATGGGAAACATGGTTAAATGTGTTGCACTCTACAGCTGATCAATATTAACGTAGCAGTGAGACAATGTTAAGCTGGTACAATTAAATAATTTAAACCGACGAATATGCTAATAAAAGACTCAAAAATTGTTGTAAAGTCAAATAGAATAAATTTTGCCATGTATAATGAGCTAAATAGGAAATATTACATTAATCAGAATAATCTTGATAGTATTAAAATTTCTAAATGGAATGAATGAATTTAAATAACCCCTACTGAGCAAAAAGGAAATAATTATAATTAGTGATAATGTTATCAATAAATCGGTTATCGTTTTTATAATGAAAATCTACATTTACAATGTAATTCTTTCAAAGTTGTAATTAATCATCCAATTCAAAAAAAATGTTTTTGTTCAAATGTGTATAGTTTTCTTATTTCTTAAAATACTAACACTATTTGCACTATAATAAGGGGAAGAGGTTAATATTGTCAAAGTTTACTGGACAATTTTTTTTGCCGTCTTCTATATTTGAACTGTTTATTGATTGACTTGAAATGTTATTTATCTGGTTTACTATTAAGTTGATTAAAAATTACGTCTACTAGCAACTATTGATGTTAATGAGATCCATTGGCAAATTACTTATAAGATTTAAGGTTGTTGAATTTTAACTTCCAAATTACTGCATGTTTAAATGTTGAACCTGTTTAATACATTTTTTTAACTTTTAATTACTGCATGTTTAAATGTTGAACCTGTTTATTATATTTTAACTTTCAAATACTGCACGTATACATGTTGAACCTACTGAAAGTAAGAAGAGTCCCAGCGTCAGTGTGGATGACGTCAACAAACAAGGCGTCAGTGGGGTCGAGTCTAACTATGGCTGGAGTGTTCTCAAAGTATGGGCCTGCGGGGTCCAGACCTAAGGAACAGAGAAAAGTGGTCCTTAAATGGTGTGAGTGGGTGTCTCGGTGGTAGCTCATTTGTGGTTTATCAAAAAAAAAATAGAGCAAAGCTTATACTCTATTGAAAGTGTAAATACTATTTCATATACTGAGCACTTTAGTGCGGGACAATTTTGCATAAAAATTATATATAGCTGAGATTAGCTTATATATTGTCATTTCTATCAAGCATTCACATAAATATTGAACAAAATTCAAGCATTTTAATCTATACATGAAAAAATAAAGAAGTAAAAGGTAAAAGTAGATTAAAATTTACCTGTAAACCTCCCCACTCACCAACCTACCTGTAATCCTCCCCACCCACCAACCTACCTGTAATCCTCCCCAAGCCTGGCACCCTCTCCCCAGCGTACCCAGAGATGTGAGCTCCGAGACTGTGACCAATGACGTGGAAGTTTTTGGCTGGTGTGCTAAAAATAGCCTGTCACGTGATAAAGATAACTCAAGTATTAAAAGATACGAACCGAAATAACTTTCCATTTTAACAGAGCTTTAGTATTTTCATACCAAAAACAGACTGGAACCTCAACACCATAAATAAATTAAATAACTCGTGTTTACGAGATATACATATCTATACTACTAAAACTCAAGTTTGTTTACATGTTTGAATATATATTTGTTTTTTGTTTTGTTTGTGTGATTGACTACTGGAGAGAATCTGCTCTATGTGGAGAGCAGTAAAATAGTATGTAGGCAGAGAACAATTTTTGTTTTCAGACAGACTGTTAATCACAAATTTATTTAAAGACGTTAGTTAATTTATTGATTTATTCATTGGTAGATTAACCACGTTAATTTTAAAAGTTTAGAAAAATGACTTTACTTTGAGTGAATAGTAACGTCACATGATTTGTTTACTTTTTAGTACAATAAATGGCGGCTCCATACAAGATTTCGTATCTTATTCAGATCTTTAACGCGTTCTAAAGCTAACTTTCTGTCGGCTATAACTTAAACAATACGTCCGTTTGCTGTTTTTTTATTACGTTCCAACACTTATATCAATTTTCAACTGTCTTTTTCATTTAGTTTTACAATAACTTTCTCTAGCGCTAGATCTACAATCTGTCCAAGAAAGTTATTTATAGATCTAGATCTAGAATCTAGGTCAAACCAAAGATTTATTAGTTAAAAATACAATCCATTTTAAAATCATAATACATTTTTAAGTTTCTTTATTAAACTCCTTTAGTCCTTAATTACGTAATATAAATCTATGTGATTTATCTATCTAGATCTAGAATAGGTCTAATCTAGATCTAGCAAGAGTTACGCAAAAACTAGACTTAAGCAAACCAGCCGTAGAATCAAGATAATTCTTTCTAGATCTAGAAATATAGATAATATACAGTGTAGGTGAAGTAGAGTTCATTTGTTTCTTTGTCCTAAGCATATGAAGGGATAGTGTGGTCAGAGACATGCTCGGCCGGAATCGTTTTTTTAACGATAAAAACATGTTGTCTGAGACTTGGCGGGACACTGGGCAGGTGAAGTAGAGTTGAGTAGGTCACATGTGACGTCAGTATATGAAGAGATAGTGTGGTCATACCTATGCTCAGCCGAAATCGGTGTTTTTAAAAGATATAAAAACGTCTTTTTGAATGTTGGGTCTGGTTATTTTGTGATGATAAGTGACAGAGGTGAAGTCATTTATGGATGACCCCTGAAACCCATACTTATCCAAGGGATGATGGGTAAGTCCAGTAAACGAATACAGATTTAACTAACTAATACACGGGAGTAGAAAACTATGTGAAGTATACACCATAGTTCTGATGGCCTAAAACTCTAATGATGGACGGCGTGCTCGGATAGTTGAACATACGACTGCTATCCCGAAAGTCTTGAGTTCGAACACCGGATTTGTATCTCACGTTAGGGAAAGTAAAAGCGGCTTGGCACAGTGCTTACTACATTATTCCTTCGAATTCCGAAGTCACTGAAACAGGTGAACTCTACTGAACATGCGTCATGGGCCGTTATATTCGAAAAGGTACTTCTTACGCTAATTAGGGACGGAGTCCATATTTTCCTGTTGTGCATTTACTAATTAAACTATTCCAACGACTAGACTAGATGCTGTGTACAAGGCTTTACACAAATTGAATGTGGGAGGGTTCTTTTCCTTCAGTACGTCGCTGAGTTGACTCAGCTCATGTGAGTACTTGTCCTTTGTTATAGGTACACATGTCACACACTAAGCTTAATGCCCAAAACCAAAAACCTAATTAAGCTATACTTTATCTAGAACGTTGATAACAAGTCTATCGAAGCCAAACACTTTCCCAACCCACGTACACTGATGTGGTTGATGAGTTAAGCTATCTGAGCCCCTACGACTCTTGTTTTGGCTGTTAAAATAAAACTACGACTCTTGTATTGGCTGTTAAAATAAAATGTACGTACACTGATCAGGTTGATGAGCTGAGATATCTGAGCCCCTACGACTCTTGTATTGGCTGTTAAAATAAAATGTACGTACACTGATTTGGTTGATGAGTTGAGCTATTTGAGCCCCTACGACTCTTGTATTGGCTGTTAAAATAAAATGTACGTACACTGATCTGGTTGATGAGCTGAGCTATCTGAGCCCCTACGACTCTTGTATTGGCTGTGGCCTGGGTGTAGGGCGGCTTGTTGCCGCCTGACCAGTCCACAAGGATGACATTGTAGTCTCCCTGTTTCAACAGCTCGTCCTTCATCAGCTGAAACAACAGGGGGAGATCATTCAAATAAGAGGGGAGCTAATTTACACAACAAGGGAGATAAGTAAAACAACAGGGGAGATATTGAAAAAAGGGGAGGTAATTATTACAACAGGGGATGTAATTGAAACAATTAGGTAGATAATTAAAACAACAGGGGATATAACTGAAAAAATATGGGAGATATTTGAATCATTAGAAGAGATAATTGAAACATCAGTTAAAATTTAAACACTTTAAATTGTACCAAACTTTTCTATAAACTTTTAATTGTACTTTATTTTGTCTTTAATTATTTGATAACTTAATCTCTGACCTTTCCCCAGCTTGTTATTTCGACACTGTCGAGAAATCCGTGTACGATAATTTTGGTCGGTCGTGAGACAAAACCTGGCCAGATGGTGGTGAGACTTGTCTTGACTTGTGTGGCTGGCAGGTCTAGTGGAGTTGCCGGTTGGGCTCGGGTGTACAGCTTGAACAGGGTGCTGGGGAAACAGTGGGTGGGAGGGGGGCGGGGGTTCTAAGTGTTAGGAGCTAGGTGACAGGTTGGTGTGTGATAGAAGAATGTTATGGTTATATATACATCTATAACTTGGTTATAGGAAACAGATAACGGTCGAGGTATAAAGTAAAGTTCCCTTTCAAACCTGACAGTCCTTGCGATATGTGGCGTTCACCTGTTTCACTGCCTCGACATTCATATGCCGAGGTCGCAAAAACAGATTGACACTACTTGCCCCATGGACTATCAATGAAAGAGTGGTCAGCGCTTTGCCCAGCCGGCTCGATATTTTAAAGGGTTACTAAAAATATAAATTTATATCACCAAGGAAACTTCATTCTTGTGTTTTAAAATGTATATATGTTTGTCAAAATCATAATAGCATAAAGTTTGTGTTTGTCAATTGATGCTTAAAACTAAAAAACTGAATTTAGCTATACTTTATCTAAACCATTTGTCAACGTTATTTGGTTTATTAATTATATGTCTAAGCGTCAAATACTTAGTTGTCTCATTGTAAATGAGGCTAAAGCCAAATTGTGTTTACCTGATGAATTCAGGTGACTGGGGCAGGACAGCCACTGGTCTATATACGGTGAGGCTCCAAGGTGGGTCAATAGAGAAACATTCTAAGCCATCGTAACACACGTCTGGGTGGGGGTGGGGGTGGGGGAGACAGCTTTCGTTAGGGTTGGTTCAATGAAAAACATCAATGGTAGGTTATATGTTATATCGCGTAGATTTTTATTTTTCCTTTAAATATTCAACTGTTAGAATACTTATATAGTATGCTTTGAATGGAACTTATTAAAAATTTTAAGAGCCATGACTTTTGTCTAAGAATTGAGTGCCTCTCATATTTCACTAGAAACTTCGTTCAAAGCTTTCAAAATCAATTTGCTCCCACTTGTAATGACGTTTTTTAACTTGTGATTATTTGATGTAATTAAAAAAAATACACCCAATATTACTTGAACTGTAAGGTGAATGTTTTGAAAGATTGATAACAAACTCGATTTCATTTGCAAAAACGTTGTTGGCGTTAATGATAACATTGCATCTATGTTAATTGTAATAATAAAACCATACACTTAGTTTGAATATCAGTATTATAAGACTAAAACACTTACTGGTCAAAGTATTCTGGGCTGTAACCAGCAAGATGTGAAGAATTAAACAGAGTATAGTCGACTGCATCTTATCGTCAGGTCTTCTAGAATATCGAGCCAATGCCTATATATATATATATATATATATATAGATATATATATATATATATATAGATATATATATATATATATATATATATATATATATATATATATATATATATATATATATATATATATATATATATATATATATATATATATATATTTATATATATAAGTATACATTCTTATACTTACATTTAGTGAAAAAGTTGAACAAATTTCACTGATATCCGTTGCCTCTTCTCTTCCTTTTAAAACTCTTGGCTGAGTTAATTTTGGCTGGTACTTTAAAGTTGATTAAATTAATTGCCTTTGTTCTTTCTAAATTAATATTGATTAGGCTTTTAAAGTCCTTATTGTATTGTTAACGTTTCATTTTTTTTTCGCTTCTTTATAGTGTGGTGTGAGAACATGAAAGCTACACTAGATAAAAGTAGATAGGTAGCCACGATGTTGAGTCAGTCGCTTTCATTTGCATTTCATTGTTTGAATAATGAGTAGATTTTGGTAGAGATAAAGTGTGGCGAATATTAGAATGTAGTTATGCTAATGTGGTTGTCTTAGCAAGGTCGTTATTATGATTGTTACTGGAGGGTTTTGTCAGTCATCTAGTTAGTCATTTAGTCAGTCAATTAGTTAGTCATTTTTTTGTCAGTCATTTTGTCAGTAATGTAGTCACTTATTTTGTCAGTCATCTAGTTAGTCATTTTTCAACAATTTAGTCTGTCATTTTGTCAGCCATTTTGTCAGTCATTTCAGTAATTTTGTCGGTCATTTTTTCAGTCATTTTTCAGTCATTTCAGTAATTTTGTCAGTCATTTTTCAGTCATTTAGTCACTTATTTTGTCGGTCATATTGTCAGTCTTTTTTCAGTCATTTTGAATTTAAAAACAGGTGATTCTTACACAGGTGTAATCAAATTTATAACGAGCGATCTAAGTCATGAACGCATTTTAGTCTAAGTCGTATGACTTAGATGTTGCCTAGTAAGTAATGAACGGTCAACAATGATGAAAAATATCTTGGTAAATGTTAAACACAATGTCATATTATGAGCTTAAACACTAAAGTGTTTAAAAAATTGTGAAATTTCACGGAATATTATTATGTTAGTAAACGCTGAACACAAAACTATGCTATGAGTTTAAAAGTGTATTAGAAATGACATAAAACAACATGCACTTTAAAACAAATACAGTGAAGGAGTCTCCTTTATAAAACAATTTCACGCATCATTTTGACACTTGAGAATGTCGTATGTTTGGGGTGGGTTGGGGTGAAGTGGTAGCTGGGCGTGGTTGGGTTCATGTTGTTGGACTTGTCAAGCTGTTCTGTTGTTGCCGTTTACTACCTGTTTTGTGAGTTGTCTGTCGTTGTTATCGTTCTTTATCGTGCCGGTACATAAGGACGATTTATAGAATAACGGTGCCGCCTTAATCCGATGATTATGCTTCATTTCTGTGTTTCTATAATCTTGATTGTCAATACTAGATGTGTACTAGTTGTGGGGTTATTGTAAGATGCCACAAAAATCCTTGTGTTTGGGTGTCAGTTGTTTAAGTGTGGCACGTTGTAGGCTTGACAGACTGTGTTTGTTTACTTTATGTGTCCAGTGTTATGCAATCAGCGTGTGGTTGTGTTTATGTGTACTGTTACGCTTGACTGCGCTTAAAGGTGGGTCGGCGTGTTAAAAAATGCGGAAGGGGTGAGGTTTTGTAAAGTTAACGTTGCATATTTTCTGTGTGACTTGAGAAGAAACATTAGACAAAATATATTACATTATTTTACCATGTGTATTGCGCTTTAAGATGTCTGTTGTGTTGATGAATGTCGATAAAATGGATGACGGGTAGTTGTAAAAGAGATCTAAGTATGTTTACTAGCTAGCAGTAACACAACATGTAACATTACATTGCACTTTGCGGATCGTCTCTTTGTTCTTTGACTTATAAATTGATCATAAATTATACTAATTTTATGCGAAGATAAAAAATAATTCCTTTTGCCTATACATTTTTTGGGGTATTTTGTAAGGCACCAGATGTAGAAAAACTCTGGTGGCAAGTATTACAGGTGAATGTTCACAGGTGACAGGTGAATGTTCACAGTGACAGGTGAATTCACAGGTGACATGTGTTACAGGGGAATCTTCAAAGGTGACAGGTGAATGTTCACAGGTGGAAGGTGAATGTTCACAGGTGAATCTTCACAGGTGACAGGTGAATGTTCACAGGTGGCAGGTGAATGTTCACAGGTGGAAGGTGGATTTTCACAGGTGAATCTTCACAGGTGACAGGTGAATGTTCACAGGTGGCAGGTGAATGTTCACAGGTGACAGGTGAATCTTCACAGGCGACAGGTGAATCTTCACAGGCGACAGGTGAATCTTCACAGGCGACAGGTGAATCTTCACAGGCGACAGGTGAATCTTCACAGGCGACAGATGAATCTTCACAGGCGACAGGTGAATCTTCACAGGCGACAAGTGAATGTTTACAGGTGCCAGGTGAATGTTTACAAGTGGCAGGTAAATCTTCACAGGTTATTACAGGTGGATCTTCACAGGTTGTTACAGGTGAATGTTCACAGGTTGTTACAGGTGAATCTTCACAGGTTGTTACAGGTGAATCTTTACAGGTTGTTACAGGGGAATCTTCACAGGTTGTTACAGGGGAATCTTCACAGGTGACAGATGAATGTTCACAGGCAACAGGTGAATCTTCACAGGCCACAGGTGAATCTTTACAAGACGTCAGTGAGGCGTGTCAGCAACACCACAGATGTGACGTACCGTAAAGGGCGTGTAGTTAACATCAGTTTGCCGTTCACGCGTGCCATCGTTACAATAAGGTGATCCCTCTGTAGTTCATTATACATGCTAATGAGATCGTACTTCAAAACTGCACCTGTAGTTATGTATAATAGGATCCGTTTGTCTGGCTAGATGGTAAGAGTAACATTCTGGCTAGATCAATAGCAAGGTAAACAATTGAGCCAGATCACACACAGAGTGTTTCTTTCAGGCATCTCTATCCCACGCCTACCGCCCTCCCACGAAAGAGATAGAATTTATATAGAAAATAAATACTTTTTCCAGTGTCCGCCCCCTCACGGATAATATGGTCAGCCCTCCAGGAAAATTAATTCCGCCCCCCCCCCCCCCCTGCTCCGCCGAAAGTTTCAAATGTGCCGCTGGAGAGAAAAAAAAAACACTGCATACACATGTGAAAATAATTGAAAATTAAGGAAATTTATCTCATTTATATTATGAAACACCTAACATTAATGTTCATATGTGTCTAGGTTCAGTTAATAAATGTAACATCATCACAACAATTAACCCACTGGTATAGAAGTGCTATCTACACGAGGTACCGCATTAGTATCTGTCTAAAAAGTAAAACATCCTCTTAAGACCTAAGATTAATCGGGCAGATGAAGCAGTGTTCATATGTTTCTTGACTTCGGCTTATGAAGGGAAAAGTGTGGTCAGCACTTTGCCCACACGCCTTTACTTTCTCTGACATGCGTTAGGTACCCATCAGAGCTAAGTGGACTCAGGGACGTTATACTGACATGGATCAGATTTTAAACTCTACCGCTTAAGCCATGCCATCCTATAGTACCCATCTATTTAACAACTTTTTGTTTCGTATTATATTAGTCGTGCGTTAAAAATATAACATCTACCCCCCCCCCCCCCTTTTCCACCATTATTCTAATCAATCAAAGTACTGGTAAGTGTATCGTATGGGCGAGTAATACTTCTGACGTCACATAGCTATCATACAAATATAAATACACATTTATTAACATCGTTCTGTAGCAAAATATTCACGCTCATGTCAATTATTTGATTCACCACGTTAAAATAGACATCGGGATTTCAAAAGCTAAATCATATATTTACGGGTATTCCCGATGTAACTAAGAAGCTAAAAATAACACCAATCACTTCCTGATGCACGTCAAACTTGGAAATTTGGAACCACAGAATGTAGGTTAAAGTCTTTGTCTAATCACTTTTTTTCGTTCTATGTGTTTTTATTGGTTTTTTTTTTTTGTAAGTGGCATCACAACCAGAACAGCCAAATCTATGTATTATAGGGATATGATTTTAACTTTTACACACATCTAAGAGGACGATTGTTTTACCAGAAAAAAAAAGTTTGTCTTCCAAGAAAGATTTTAGTGACAATTTTATCTTTGTTTATCGAATTATAACCACGAATTATTATGTTCTAATATTTATTTTAAAATATATTTATTTTTTAAATTGCAATAAATAAAATGTAAAACTTAGTTGTCACGTTCTTCAATCTATTTTATTCTTAAAGCCCAGTGTAAGATTTATTTATAGCAACCATTAATGTCTATAGCAGTGGCTGAATTGGGTTGTAATCGATAACTCAAAACATATTTACTGCAGCTATGAAATCATAACCGGCTTTACCCGATTGTAAATTATGTTTATACTTTGAACTAAAACATGTAAGGACCTGCAAAACAATTTGCAAAAGCATACAAATTCAAATTGTGATCGTTATATTTCTGCATTAATTAAAAAACTATAAACAAAAATATAAAAAAAAAACAATTTACATGAAGATGTTACCACTGGTATGGTTCACAAACTTTAAATGTCCATTCATTTAAAGAATGTAAATGGCCTTAATTATAATTATATCTCTTCAGATACTTAAGGCTGTAGATCCAATGACCTTTAATTATATATCTGCAGATACTTAGTATTGTATATGCAATGGCCTTAAATTATAATTATATATCTGCAGATACTTAGTACTCTAGATGCAATGGCCTTAAATTATAATTATATATCTGCAGATAGGCTACTTAAGACTGTAGATCCAATGACCTTTAATTATATATCTGCAGATACTTAGTATTGTATATGCAATGGCCTTAAATTATAATTATATATCTGCAGATACTTAGTACTCTAGATGCAATGGCCTTAAATTATAATTATATATCTGAAGATAGGCTACTTAAGACTGTAGATCCAATGGCCTTTAAATATATATCTGCAGATAGTTAGTATTGTATATGCAATGGCCTCAAATTATAATTATATATCTGCAGATACTTAGTATTCTAGATGCAATGGCCTTAAATTATAATTATATATCTGCAGATAGGCTACTTAAAACTGTAGATCCAATGGCCTTTAAATATATATCTGAAGATACTTAGTATTGTATATGCAATGGCCTCAAATTACAATTATATCTCTGCAGATACTTCAGACTGTAGATCCAATGGCCACAACCAGCATAAACCAGGTGTCTGCTACAGGAGGCTACAATTTGATAGACCAATCAAGCGCCTTAATACTGGCTGTTACAGTTAACGATGTTACATTAGTGAAACAACTGCTGGAAAATGGCGCAGACGTGAACGAGAAGAACGCTCAAGGAATAACTCCCTTGATGTTTGCCGCCAATAGTGGCAACACTGAAATGGTCCTATGTTTACTTGAACATGGCGCTTACGTTAACATGGCCGATGTGAATGGTACCTCAGCTTTTATCATCGCTGCTTGTGTAGGTGACGTTAAAACCATAGAGGCTCTCGTCAACAACGGGGCGGACGTCAAACAGAAAACAATACAAGGGAAAAACGCTTTGATTGTTACGTCAGCGTTGGGACATTCCGAAGCTGTAAAATATCTTCTTGAGGCTAAACTTGATGTAAACGCTACCGACGACCACGGCAACACCGCACTGATGTACGCCGCACAGAAAGACAATGATGACCTTGTGAAATTACTTATCGAACACGGAGCAGATGTTAATAAGTTGGGCAATTCCTACTCTACTGCACTACATTTTGCCGCGCTTTTTGGAAAAACTGACAATGTTGGTGTTTTGATAGAAGCAGGCGCTGATGTGAACGCGAGACAAGGTGAAGGTGTAACCGCTATTTTGCTTGCAGCCGAGAGGAATCATGAGGATACCGTGAAGAAACTTCTAGAGAACAACGCTGTGTTGAACATGGAAGAGAATCTCTCGCAAATTGTTCTCATGCACTGTATGAAGAACCAGTACACAGGCGTGTACACACTGCTGCTACAGCGAGCTACACCTAAAGCCGTCATCATTCACATCATCAATGTAGTGCTTTATTTTATCTGTTTTATTTGTGCCAGCGCTTTTAGGTTGTTTATGAGAGCTATTTCCTACAACTAAAAGTGTTGAGAGCTATTTCCTACGATTAAAGTGTTGAGAGCTATTTCATACGACTAAAATGTTGAAAGCTATTTCCTACGATTAAAGTGTTGAGAGCTATTTCATACGACTAAAAGTGTTGAGAACTATTTCCTACGACTAAAAGTGTTGAGAACTATTTCATACGACTAATAGTGTTGAGAGCTATTTCCTACGACTAAAAGTGTTGAGAACTATTTCAAACAACTAAAATGTTGAGAGCTATAGAGCTATTTCATACGACTAAAAGTGTTGAGAACTATTTCATACGACTAAAAGTGTTGAGAGCTATTTCATACGACTAAAATGTTGAGAGCTATTTCATACGATTAAAGTGTTGACAGCTATTTCATATGACTAAAAGTGTTGAGAGCTATTTCATACGTCTAAAATGTTGAGAGCTATTTCCTACGACTAAAATGTTGAACTTTATAATAAATATTAACAACAATGTTTAATACTCCAGACTATTTTGGACGTATCCATGTGATATTTAACATAAAAGTAGATTAAAATATTTAAGTTAAATAAATTATATAATGATTTTATATCAAATCAATTATTGATGTTCGTTTTAACAATATTTAATACATTTAAAAAAAAAAAGAAATCTTATATTTTTTTTCTTAAAAATATAACCATATTTAAAAATAATTATTACAAATAATTTAGTTTGTGATTTATTTAAATAACATTTACACCAACCTTACCTATAAATAAAAACCACTAATTGATATTGAGAAAGAGTGTTTACTTTATGAATTATTCAGACCTATTGTTATAAAACGTGGTATAGACCCACACGCCCTTATAGAAGTCTGGCCGTCTCGTATACTGCTTGTGTAGTTTATGGATCACGTTGTTATAAGAAGAAAAATGTTTCCTTATTTTGTTTGGACAGGGATCTACATAAAGTTTGTTAAAATCTGGTTATGCTCCGTTATACTAATGTAATGTAACACTCTAATCGCTCCGTTATACTAATGTAATGTAACACTCTAATCGCTCCGTCATACTAATGTAATGTAACACTCTAATCGCTCCGTCATACTAATGTAATGTAACACTCTAATCGCTCCGTCATACTAATGTAATGTAACACTCTAATCGCTCCGTCATACTAATGTAATGTAACACTCTAATCGCTCAGTCATACTAATGTAATGTAACACTCTAATCGCTCCGTCATACTAATGTAATGTAACACTCTAATCGCTCCGTTATACTAATGTAATGTAACACTCTAATCGCTCCGTCATACTAATGTAATGTAACACTCTAATCGCTCCGTCATACTAATGTAATGTAACACTCTAATCGCTCCGTTATACTAATGTAATGTAACACTCTAATCGCTCCGTCATACTAATGTAATGTAACACTCTAATCGCTCCGTCATACTAATGTAATGTAACACTCTAATCGCTCCGTTATACTAATGTAATGTAACACTCTAATCGCTCCGTTATACTAATGTAATGTAACACTCTAATCGCTCCGTCATACTAATGTAATGTAACACGCTAATCGCTCCGTCATACTAATGTAATGTAACACTCTAATCGCTCCGTCATACTAATGTAATGTAACACTCTAATCGCTCCGTTATACTAATGTAATGTAACACTCTAATCGCTCCGTTATACTAATGTAATGTAACACTCTAATCGCTCCGTCATACTAATGTAATGTAACACTCTAATCGCTCCGTCGTACTAATGTAATGTAACACTCTAATCGCTCCGTTATACTAATGTAATGTAACACTCTAATCGCTCCGTTATACTAATGTAATGTAACACTCTAATCGCTCCGTCATACTAATGTAATGTAACACTCTAATCGCTCCGTCATACTAATGTAATGTAACACTCTAATCGCTCCGTTGTACTAATGTAATGTAACACTCTAATCGCTCCGTTATACTAATGTAATGTAACACTCTAATCGCTCCGTCATACTAATGTAATGTAACACTCTAATCGCTCCGTCATACTAATGTAATGTAACACTCTAATCGCTCCGTTATACTAATGTAATGTAACACTCTAATCGCTCCGTTATACTAATGTAATGTAACACTCTAATCGCTCCGTCATACTAATGTAATGTAACACTCTAGAATCTAGAACACAAAAGGGGTAACGAGTGTATCTGCTAAACCAGGGGTTCCCAACCTTTTTTTTTTACTCTAGAGCACATTCTAAAATATCGGTAGGGTGGCGGGTACCACATATTTTAAATCGACAAACTCCTTCCATAACTTGTCATTTTCCCATAATTTATTTTCGTACAGTCATAATCAGTGGCGTAGCGAGGTCAAGGTGACACCCGGTGCTGCACTTAATGGTGTAACTCCCCCCCCCCCCCCCAGTAGCGACCTTTCCCGGGGATAAACTTTCAATTTTCGATTTGCACCCCCCCCTCAAACTTTCGACTTTCGATTTGCTCCCCCCCCCCCCTCAAACTTTTGATATGCACCCCCCCTCATGTTTTTCTCTATATATTTTGTTATTTTTTACCTTGGTGTCACCCCCCTAAATGGTGTCACCCGGTGCGGTCCGCACCCCCGTCGTCCCCCCCCCCCCCTCGTTACGCCTCTGGTCATAATGTATTAATAAATAATAAACAAAAATGTTTCAAAATAATAAAATTATTTGGCACTTTTTTCAAATTGCATACACACAGAGAAATGTATTTACAAAACGTAAATAGTGCAGCCTGGCTCGCCGCTAGACAAGTTGGGAACATATTTAATAAACCTAGGCAGTCAACCCCTGTGCTAAACAAACAAAAAAAGAGCAAAGGGGATTAACTGAGAAAAAATGTACTTTGTTGCCTGTGTTTTTATCTTAGCAACTGAATTGTTTAAGGCTGTCATCTCTGTTATACCTGCCATATATCCCGTCATGTGAAAAAGATTAACGTTATCTGCCCTTAGGACTTTTCAGTTCATAAGGTAAGTTACATTTTTCTTCTTAACGTGTCATTTTTTTTTCACTGAGCGTAGCGCCTTAAAAAATGTCAACATTAGACTATTTATAGCAGTCGCGTGACTCGTGTTGCTGTCACATGACCATTAGAATTTAGAAGATTTTTGCTACGGGCGAGGTCAGCGTTTGTCTTGTTTGATACGTATAAACGCAATACCTTTTATAACAATCCTATATTAAGTACGGAACATGTCCACATATTCCATCCTTTTTATTTTTCTCGTATACAGATATTGTAATCGTGCACAAAAAATCACATGAAATTTTGATAGGGGATTTACTTTAATCGGGCAAAAATTCCAAATCTAGATTTATTAAAATTTCGTTGTTTTACGAGTAGTCGAGTCGGAAAAACTAAACTTTCTTTAATTTTCTTTCTTCGGAAGTGGTAATTTACGCTATTTCTGAATTAATAAAAAATGCTTATGAACTTATAAAATACTAATAATAGCCCGCACTATTATACACATATTGTTTGCCATTCACTTGGTTCGCATTTTTTTTTTCAATGAGATTTTATTCTATTTTAAAAAGTTTAAGTAATTAAAAATGGATTTAAAAAATCATGTCTATATTCCGAGTTACCATCCCCCGTAGTGATATATCAGAATATTCGATAAAGTTTAGGGGAGATCACTACCGGTTTTTATTTAACTCACTTTTTATTACAAGCTTTTATTTAACTCACTTCCTCTACTTCAGTCTGTCCAGTGTTTCTTCCAGACTTTTTTCTCCGGGGGGGGGGGGCACTTGAAATCTTCGGGGGGGGGGCGGTAAACTTTCTTCGGGGGGGGCGGACACTGTTAAAAGTATATATTTTCTATATAAATTATATAAATTTCATATCGTTCGGGGGGGCGGTAAAAATTTTTCGGGGGGGGCAAAGCCCCCCCGAAGAGATGCCTCGAAGAAACTCTGAGTCTGTCTGTCATCAGTCTGACACTTCTAACTGACAGATACGGTTCGTAGTTGTTACGTGTGTCAAGACATAAAGACTATGCAACATGACATTCAATTTGACTTAATTGGTTGCTTGATTAATTTTTTATGAATTAATAAAAATTTGGTCCAAATTAGTAGACTGACTCATCAAACTATTCCGAGCTATTAGACACTCGTCATCACGTTTAATAGGTGCGCACTGGTTTTTAGTCATGCAACTCTAGTGTAAATAAAACATGTAAATTACTTAGAATTTTTTTTTCATAAAAAACGTTTTAATAACAAGCTTGGGTCTCTTCCTAAATATTAGTAAAGGTATCCAATAGATACTAAAGGAACACACTCTTTTCTTTATAGTTATTTAAATAGTAATGTATACTTTATTTTTTACTTTTAAGTGCATTATTACATAAAAGCTTTTTATGAAAACGTTTTTGATGACATTTTTAATAACAAACTTTTTAAAATAGATTTCTACGTGTTAAAGAAAAAAATTCTAATGATTTGTGTCACTTTAGCGAATGACGCAATCTGCATTATTGTTTCATGATGCTTTTTGGCGCTCTGGGTTATCCTGTGAATACTAATTTAATTTTAAGTAGCCAGGGGCCGTATGCGGCGCCTTTGCGGCAGTGTAATCGGGGGGCTCCCGAAGGCGCCCCTCTACGCTCCTTACACCCTGACACATGGGCGGTCACCGAAGTGTATTCTACCTCATTATTTCTGTTAGTGATTAACGTACACTCAATGTTTTCATGCAGTAGTGTAGTTAAACACGTGTCCCAATATTTATGATCCTAGCGCAGGCACTGTTTAAATAACTTAGTTTTAGAAAACAAGATCACGGGTTTAGAACATAGGATTGGTAACGCATTGATGAAACCCTTCTTTTATATTTCGCCAGACTTTCTTCTATCCCCGCGGCAACGCGCGAGTACGGGTACGCTAGATTTAATAAATGTTTACCTACTTAAAATTTTTGAATTGCACACCAAGCGAAAAGCAAACAAAGTATGTGTGATAATGAGGGATATTAGCACTTTATAAATTCATATGCGATTTTTGAGTAATAGGAAATAGCTTAAAGTACTAATTACGGTAGACAGAAATAACTCAAAATTTGACAAAAGGCAGAAAATTAGATCTTTTACCTAAATGTGAAAATTCGTCAATCTATCGAAACTGTAGGCTACTCAATTTATACGCTTCTGAAAAACCAAAAGTAGAATAAGTTTCACTTCCACATATCGGAAATCGCAGACAAGCTTATACAGTACTACACATTTGATATAATACTACGAAATTTCATCAACCAAGTTGTAACGGACACACATCCACACACACACACACATACACACAAAGACATACGGACAAAATATTAAAACTATGTTTTTCCGAATCAGAGAGGTGTAAAACGTTGAGATTTGTGAAAATCTCCATTTCCATTTTTGCACGATTACAATACTTCCTCTTTACTTCGTATTCGAGAAAGTAAAAAAAAAAACCCAATGTTGTTCATTTATGAACTCTGTGTTTTATTGCACGTTGTCCTTAAAATGAAAAGTTCTACACTTGTGGGTTTATAAGTTGACCTACAACTCATGTCTTGATGGATTGTTTAAAATGTCAACATACGTGGGAGTAGGCCTATAGCTCTGGCATTTTCATTTTCTAAAGTAGTTTACACTAGAAACGTAGGCCTATATTTCTTTGCTTGTAGTTTCTTTGTGGGTCGAAAAGTAAGTATAATAAATAAACTAATGACACATCTACACAACAAAATTAGCTTGGGTTACGTTAGTTTGTAACAGCCTGGGTTAGGTGGGATTATGATAGGTTAGGTTAATTTAACCTCGGGTTGTTACTGGCTAAATTAAAATAAGCTCTAGTATTGGGAAACATTTGTGCTTAGGCTAGAACGGTTTATAGTTCAGTAAGTCAGACGGGTTTAAACATAGTTTTAAACATCAACACATTCTGTTCAATCAAAGCTTGTAAAAACGTGTAAGTGTGACTCATTCTAAACAAATTTATTTATGCACAATTACAGAGTTCTAGCATTATATAGAATCTCTAATGTTCATCGATTAGTTTTTTAATATGCAGAAAAGTTGAAGGTGATTTTATATAAAGAGGTCAACACAATACACCTGAAATACCCGTGATACATTGAAACATATCATACGCATTTTAAAACCCCAGTTATTAATTTTGATTCAGACTTTCTACACTCAAGTTAACAACCCATCTACACGTTTACACTTATGTAACAATCCCAAACACAATCGTCCCATTCGCGTCTGTCCGGATGTGCTTTGTAAGCCCGAAGCCATTGTAAATTTAAAAAAATCAAAGTTTACATCCTTTTCTTTAGATGGATTAATTAGAACATCTCCAAATATAAAGTATTCATTTGATTTACATGTAAGCTGCTATATGTTTGAGGACATAACATTTGTATACAGACCTTTTTACATGTTTATTTTATTATGTGGCAACATTATCGTTATTATGATTTTCAAATTGTTTTCCCATTTGGTAAATTTTACGCACAAAAATTATTACCTTAGTACTAGTTTTTAGTTATGTTCAAATGCTTGGCAAAACATTTTTTAATGTGATAATTGTTTTATATCTACAGGCACATTTTGTGTGTTAGAAGTATTGTACGACCTTACTTTCAATGGCCTTTACAAACATGAACCAAGAGCTTGGTGTTGGGGATAGCATTGCAGACAAATCAAGCGACTCCTCAGCAGTAACAGCTAATGATGTTTCTTTTGTAGAACATCTGCTGAAAAATGGGATGGATGTCAATGTGAAGAATCCTCAAGGTTTCACTCCCTTAATGTTAGCGGCCTTTAATGGTAACACAGAACAGATTCTGGTTTTATTAGAGCACGGCGCAGATATTGATATGAGAGATGACACCGGCATGTCAGCTTTTTTAATTGCCGCGTTGCTAGGTGACGTTAAAAACATGGAGGTTCTTGTCAATAACGGGGCAGACGTCAAACAGAAAACAAAAGAAGGGAAAAACGCGTTGATCTTATCTTCATATGCTGGCCATTTTGACGCTGTAAAATACCTACTTGACATTAAACTTATTGATGTTAACGGCGTCGATAATTTTGATCTCACTGCACTGATGTACGCCGCACAAAAGGACAAAGTTGATGTTCTAAACTTGCTCATAGAACATGGGGCAGATGTTAACAAGCAGAACAATAGACAATTTACTGCCTTACATTTTGCTGCGCTTTACGGTAAGGACGATAACATCGACGCTTTAATACAAGCCGGCGCTGACGTGAATATAAAGATGAATCTTGGTTACAGTGCCGTTCAACTTGCGGCACATGAAGGCTATGAGTCGATCGTAAAGAAGTTACTGGACAACAACGCGGATCTGAACATGGAAGAATTTCTCTCACAGAAGATCCTCGTGAACAGCTTAAAGTGCCTGCAAATGGGCGTGTACTTCCTGCTGCTCAGGTGGTCGGGGCCGTTTGCCATTATAAATCACGTGCTTGCATTGCTGATCTACTTTGCGATGTTTGTTTTTGTCAGCATCATTCGATTGTTAATAAGATTTGTCACCTACCATTAACCGTGTAATGGCCTGATGTGGTAATTTTATAAACTGTATACTATAACTTTCAATGTTGTGTTAGTTTTATTAAAGATTATTAATTAATTTTGTAAAAAAGTTATACTTTTCTACCTGAAGATCTATAGGACAGTAGAAGTAAAGTTCATCTATTTTCGCGAACTCAGTATTATAATTGATAGTGAGCTCAGTTCAATATACACAGCCACCTCAATGTTTCTAACACGAATCATGTACCAATAAGTGCTAGTAACTTCCGGTACATCCTATGGGCACCAGTCTATGATCCCAACTCGAGACTTCCAGGCTAGTAATCAAGTAAATGAGGACTGTACGATTTGACCGAGCCACGCCATATTTTTTAATGTATTTTTTTATGAATCCTAATAACTCATTTTGTTGTTTTTTAAATTCTTTACTAAAGCTGAAAGAAAACTATTGCATTAGAAGCACGTTAAAATTTACAGAATTTGTCACCAACACACAAACTGACACATTAAAAAAAAATAGACCAGGAGTGATCTCCCCTAAACTTTTTCGAATATTCTAATATAAAAAAAACAGGGGATGGGAACTCGGGATATTGACATAAATTTTAATCCATTTTAAAAACTTAAACTTTTTAAAATAGAATAAAACCTCGTAAAAAAAAGAATTGCACACCAGTGAAAGCCAAATGAAATGTGCATAATAGTGCGGAATTTTATTAGTACTTTATTAATTTAAATTAGTTTTTTTTTTGAGAAATCGGAAATAGCATCAATTAGTACTTCCGTTAAACGGAAATTATTCAAAATTTGACAGATGGTAGAGAATTAGATTTTTTACTTTCTTGTGAAATTTCATTTATCTATCTGAAATAGTACTTAAGTTATAGGCTTTTGAAAAATTCAAAGTATGAAAAGTACCACTTTCGGTTATCGGAAATCGCTCGAAAATTGATACGAATCTACGATTTTGATAAAATACTTATGTATTAAATTTCATTAACCTAGCTGTAACGGTACTCAAGTTATCTTGTTTACAGACACACAGACACACACACAGACACACAAACATACACACAGACATACGGAAAAGTTTGCAAAATTTTTTCCATATCAGTGAGGGGTAAAACGTCGAGATTTGCAAAAATCTCGATTATTTTTTTGCACGATTACAAGACTTTCTCTATACTTCGTATATAGTAATAAAACAGATAGTGTTAGTTACCTCACAAGTTAAAGACAGTTACAAATACTTTGGACGTTTCGACCCAAGGCCTTCGTCAGCACACAACAGTGTGGTTACAGATTAGACAAATTTAAGTATTTGTCGCATTTCAGTGCTAAGGCGATTTTTAAAATTGTGCGTCCGGTTTTGCCACAATTTTAAAAATCGCCTTAGCACTGAAACGCGACTAATACTTAAATTTGGTACACGGGCATCCGATGGTTTGAATCAGGGGTCTCCAAACTACGGCCCGCGGGCCGGATGCGGCCCGCGAAGTCCTCTCATCCGGCCCGCGGAGATGTTTTTGTCCACGGAAAAGACGTTAGTTGGTGACAGCTGAGGAACTTTGCCCAGAAAAATCAAAGACTTGCCTGATAGAAACTGGCCCCCGAACTGAAATTTGATAGCCAATGCGGCCCTCGGACTGAAAAGTTTGGAGACCCCTGGTTTGAATGAACAGAATTCTTTCACCTAACCAACCCCCCCTCTCGCATACACCACGCCCAAAACCTCACCCCTATACGGTGTCCAAGCGTTCTTCTCACGCGTCTTTTCTTTTGGATTTCGTGGCTAGCAGACAAGACGTGTTTTCACTGTCGAGCTAAGTCAAAAAATGTGTTACTGTTTGTCTTTATTTGTCTAATCTGTAACCACACGGTACTGTTGTGTGCTGAAGAAGACCTTGGGTCGAAACGTCCATAGTACTTGTATCTGTCTTTAATTTGTGAGGTAATTAACACTATCTGTTTTATTACTAATTGCATTAACCTCACTGCAGTTACCATTTGTTTTTATCTACTTCATATATACGAGAAAGTAAAAATAATAGGACATATATAAAAATCCTTAATAATAAGAAGCATCTAAAGCACTAAAAATACATAACGTAACGTAACGTAACGTAACGTAACGTAACGTAACGTAACGTAACGTAACGTAACGTAACGTAACGTAACGTAACGTAACGTAACGTAACGTAACGTAACGTAACGTAACGTAACGTACCGTAACGTAACGTAACGGGTAACGTAACGTAACGTAACGGGTAACGTAACGTAACGTAACGTAACGGGTAACGTAACGTAACGTAACGTAACGTAACGTAACGTAACGTAACGTAACGTAACGTAACGTAACGTAACGTAACGTAACGTAACGTAACGTAACGTAACGTAACGTAACGTAACGTAACGTAACGTAACGTAACGTAACGTAACGTAACGTAACGTAACGTAACGTAACGTAACGTAACGTAACGTAACGTAACGTAACGTAACGTAACGTAGATAAAAAATACGAACATAGGATAGTCTTTTCTGGCCTGTTTGGGTTTATGAAAAAAATGCTTTAATTGAGGTCAATTAAAACAAATTACAACATCATGTCATGTGTTTAAGTGCATTAGTCTGTTTCGTGAAAACCAGTTTTTTAATGTATTTCTGCTGTAAGACCCCTTTACATCTAGTCGGTCAAAAGAATATAAAACATGCAAGCTTTCTGTAAATAATGGTGTCTTGTGTCATGTTTATTTTTTATGTTTTTGTATTTATATTATTAATTTTAAATACATTCCCTTTTTGTACAGTGTCGTTCTTTAGTAAGTAATTTATAAACAAATAATAATAAAGAGAAGTAATTGCTTTTTAATTTGTTTAGTACAAATCTACTAAAAGAAGCTTATGAGCACCCCTATTTTACTATTTAAAAAAGGGAAATAAGTAATGGAAGTGATTTGAACGTTTGCTTATCTTTGATAAGTTTGATTGTAGGAGAAAGAGGACTCGGCTTACACCGTGGTTTAAAAACAAAGGAAATATGAATATATAAGAATGTGGGGTTGTGTCTATAGAATAAACATAATCCAACCGCAGCTACAACCATCAAGTCAAAAATGAAAGAAAATTCAATGTTTTTAACAAAAAAAAATATTATGGTTGGCTTTGGGCCCCATAATTGACGTTGGAACCCCGCATTGCGGGGTCTGGCGGCACTGTAGTTCCGCCCCTGGTGCTATACTAAAGTAAATAGTCTCAGAAAAATCACGCCATTAGGCACACATGGACGCACCGTTCAACATTGATGCTTGTGCATTGTTGACTTGGCCGTCAAGTAAGTATTTATCTACGGTGATTTTATTTACTTTCACAACACATTGAAAAATATTAAGTCTACATTTAAAGGCAATTTACTTTCATAATTATAGATCTCGTTCTTGGTTAATATGTGTGTGTGTGTTATAAAAGAACAGGGTAAACAAACAGTTTCTATTCTTGACGAAATTATTTTCCTTTAGTCGATAAAGTAGAGCAATCAAGCAAGTGGCGTAGCCAGGTTGAATCCTTTTTAAATGTACCAACTTGGGAACGGAACAAAACTAAACATAAACACAAACACAACACGACACAAAACACAAACGCAAACACAACGTAAACAAAAACACAAAAGAAAACACAGACGTATACACAAACACAAAGAAAATTCAAAAACAAACAAAAAAATATACTTTATATAAGGCCGCGTCATTCAAGTTCAGTTTACTGTCATTTTGAATGCGATTACTGATATAAGTGTACTGTTTTAGTAGGTTGGAAATTAAACCGCGCGCCTCTGAAGTTTTCCTGCAAGTACCCAATTTAATACAGATATGATAAACAGACACACATTAATCACTTTGCTTGAATCTAATAGATTACTAAATATATGTTGCATTGCAAGGATGAATTATTACTATGTATTTTCGCAGCTTTTATGTTATAAAATATTTTATTTAAGTTAGTACAGTATAATATAAACGTCCGATAATACACGGACTTATTACAACATTCTAAGAGATTGGTGATTAATCATCTAAACCTTTAGACATTATTTTCATACTTTTACGGAATCGTAAAATTATTAAGCGAAATCTAGGTTTGTGTGATTCAGATTTTTCCCCTCGCTACTGTCTGTCTGTAAATATATGTTGCTATTCATTAACGAGCGGCTGATACATAAAAATTTGTATGAATTTTGTGATACATAACAGTTTGTCCAACAAAATCATTTTTAAATGATAATTATTTTTTCCTGCAGAAACATTTTTAGAATAGAAAAAAATTACGTCTGGATATTAAATGGCCCTATCAACCGAAAACTTAGGGCTTGCTTTCGGAGATAACACCACACACATATCAAGTTCCTTTTTCGTTGCTGTCAGGGAGAAAAATAATAAATTCTTAGAATATCTCTTGGACAATGGGAATGATGTCAATGTGAAGAATCCTGACGGATTAACTCCCTTGATGATTGCCGCCGATTCTGGCAACACTGAAATGGTTCAATGTTTACTTGCCCACGGCGCCGATGTTAACATGACGGATGGAAATAAAATGTCAGCGTTAATGTTTGCAGCGTCTAGAGGTGACGTTAAAAACATGGAGGCTCTCGTCAACAGCGGGGCGGACGTCAAACAGAAAACAAAAGAAGGGAAAAACGCTTTGATTTTAATGTCTACACTACGGCAATCCAAAGCGGTAAAATATCTACTTGATGCTAAACTTGATGTCAACGCTACTGACGAGCACGGAAACACCGCGCTGATGTACGCATCACAGAATGACAATGTTGACGTTTTGAACTTACTCATACAGTATGGAGCAGATGTAAATAAGGTTGGCAATGATCAATGTACAGCTTTACATTTCGCTGGGTTCACTGGCCAAACTGCCAACGTTGGTGTTTTAATTGAAGCAGGCGCTGATGTGAACGCCAGACAAGTTGATGGTCTGACCCCTGTTTTAATTGCAGCCGAGCACCGGCACGAGGAGATCGTGAGGAAACTGCTGGACAACAACGCCGAATTGGATTTAGAAGAAGACGTTGCTCAAATTGTTCTTGCGAAATGTATGTGGAACAATAACTTAGTTGTGTACGCTATGCTGCTCCAGCGGGCTACTCGAAAGGCGCTCCTAATGCACGCCTTTATTCTAGTGATGTATTTCTCTGACTTTGTTTGTACCAGTGCCTTTAGGTTATTTATGAGAGCTGTTTCTTACGACTAAAGTGTCGAACTTTATATTGAACCTAAACACTTATGTTGTACAATGGAGACTGTTAGAAAAATGAATTTGTAATTTTATTTTGATAACTCTATTCTAACGCTATTCAATTATGTAAGTTTTAAAAATTAATCCATTATCATCAAATCTTATGTTTAATTAAAAAAATATAACAATCTTTCCATAGAATTATTTATAATCAAATGATTTTTGTTTTGTTTAACTAACAGAATTAACACCATCATTAAGTTGAAATAAGGGACTCATATTGATTTTTGAGTTGCTCAGATTCTAGTTTTTAAAACTCCCATGCAAATACGTTCATAAGATTGTCATCGTGTCTTAGTCCATCAATCGAGACCTTATGTAGCTACCGTCTTTCATGTTACTGTGCCTGACCACTACCTCGTTGGTTCCTCTGTGTGCAGCCCAAACGTCTGGCACTCACCACTAGGCCTCAAACAAGATTATAGTTTTGCAAAATTGCCATTTTCTCTTCCCTTTCGAGGTCCTACCAAGCAGCTGACTTTTAAAAGATATTGGCAATGTAAGTACATTACACCAAACCAAATCTAATGCCTTATCTTTAGTTAGGAAATACTAGGCAGTTCTTCTGTGAGGTGCGCGGAGTAGGTCTGTGGGTGTAAAACACAATTTATTCAGTAGTGATGATACAGAGACCATTGGCGATATAAACAGGAGATGGATCAATTGCTGTAGCTTTTTTTCTCACGTGGTGGGAGGGTCAATTACAAAGGGTTAAATAGAGTGTTTCATGTTTTTTTAAGGGGGAGCGGGTGGTAACAATTACAACTTTCCTGAAAGGAGAGCGAACAAAATGTTCCGTTAGGGGGGCCACTGGTAAGAATTGAAATTCTATATAACTTTTACTTTGTTCCGGGGGTGAGGACAGTAGACGTGAAGAGATGTCCAAAAGATCTGCAGCAGTTACCTTTCTTGGCTGGATAGACTCAGGATGTTCTACAGACTTAAACGCGGATTCGAACTCGTGACTCTCGGTTCAACAGCCTAGCACCTTACCGGCCACGCCGTCCCGAGAGATATTGCCATATACCCAAATCTCTTAATAGCAGCATGGCTCTGTCACACGAGTAGTTTCTCAAAATTTACATGTCACGTGACGAAAATGAAGAAAAAAATGTCCCACTGTTTTATTAGATTCAAAACTGTACTGTATTGTAACGTTAGGTACTTTCTGTGCAAAACCAACAATCTAATGGGAGGTAATATTTAAAAGCTGAAAAGATAACCGTTCATTTTGTCAACCACAAAATATAAGGTAAGGGGGATAAACGAGAAAACAAGTTAAGAGTTGATTGCGTGTACTTTTATCGTAGCAACTGTAATGTTTGTCATCTGTGATATAATTTCCTTATTCCTTTTTTACAGTTATTTTACATTTAATAATCAGTGCAATACTTGATAAAAAAATTGTTATTCGAGTTTACATGATTCTAAGCATTACTGTTGTATAGACGAATATTAATAAAAAGAACATTATGTCCCCACCAATAAGAAAGCTCGTATGTTCATTAAAAAAAGAATGTTATATCTAATTATTGTTATATTTTATGTACTGTTTGATGTATCTGATTGATTTATAATTTTTAGAAATAACTTAAACAATAGATATTTTAAAAAATGATCGGTCTACACAAGGTAGCTAGCCAGGTAGTTGATTATGAATTACACGGCTTAAGAGTCCCACTAGCCTCACCCTAGTATCGAATGTGATTGATATAAAACAAGTGATAACACAAAAGGTGAATACATTCCTGCATGAAAGCACATAAAGTAAGCAAAAAAAATTGGATGTTACGAAGATAGTTTGATCGCTTATATTGAATTAATGTTTAATTTTAATTATATTTTGAATTAACACATTCCAGAACTTATTGGTTTAGTATAAGCTTGCACATTTTGGCATAGTATTATACATATAAACCCTTTCATTGTGAATCGATTGCAATCTATTAATGCGAGGTCTTGTAAGGATATGGGGCCAGTTTCTTCCAGGCATGTCTTTGATTTTTATGGGCAAAGTTCCTCAGCAATCACAAACAAACGATTTTTCCGTGGACAAAAAGATCTCAGCGGGCCGGATGAGAGGACTTTGCGGGCCGCATTCGGCCCGCGGGCCGTAGTTTGGAGACCCCTGGTTTATACGATACGCGTGACTTGCGTTGATGTCACATGACGATCAGGATGTAGAAGTACATAGCTGACGGCGAGGTCACATTTTTTTGACTAGGTAAACGGTACAAAAAATGTTTATTAACCGGTTGTGTTGCCGGTGTTAAAATGTGTCGCTACTATACACGGTGTAGGTTTACATCCTGCAATAGTGGTACACGTATTTCTGCATACGACGTGTGTAATCAGAGGCGGAATTAGAAAAAAGAGGGCCACCCACGCAAAAAAAATAATTGTGCCCTATATATATATATATATATATATATATATATATATATATATATATATATATATATATATATATATATATATATATATATATATATATATATATATATATATATATATATTCTTGATTTAAACAAGTTACAACAACATGTCATTTTTGTGAGTGCTATTTGTAAATTTATATTACAATAAATGTCTGCTTTAATACTAATTAAATGCTAGTCGGTCAAAAAAATATGAAACATGAAAGCTTTGTATGTGTAATGGTTTCTCGAGTTATTTTTAAAAAAGTTTTTTGTACTTATATTATTAGTTTTAAATACCTTTCCTTTTTATACTTTGTCATTCTTTATTATGTATTTTTTTAAAAGTAACCACCAGAAGTAATTTGCTTTTTAATTTGTTTAGTACAAATCTATTAAAAGACGAGAAAAATGGCCCGTTGAGGAAGGATACAACGGGCGCTAGGCTGATAGTGCTGTCTCTTTTCTCTAAACTAAAACCACCCCACCCCCACCCCCCACACACCACCCCCCCACCCCCCCCCCCCACCCCCCAAAAAACATGTCTACCGTCCCATTCAACGAAATATAATTCTATACTTTTTCCAGTGTCCGCCCCCTTCACGAAAATTCTACCCCACGCCCCCGAAAATTTCAAGTACCCCACCCCTCTCCGGGGAGGAAAAAGTCTGAAAGAAACACTGGTGTCGCGCTTAGCCACTACCCGAAGAATTGCATTAAAGAAATTGCAAGAAAACCACTTTTTAGATTAGACACATTAATTAGGCGGTAATTTTATTATAGAGTATCGATAAAGAAATTTCTTTTGAGTTAGGGAGGGGGGGGGGCTCAGACGTTCTTACGCGGGGGTGGGGCTTCGCCCCTACCCGAAGAATTGTATGAAAGAAACTCTTCACGCAAACCACTTAGATTAGACAAAATTTCCTTTTTATTCAATGTTTACTCGAGAATCAATGACGTCATATTACTGTGTGCACTCTCCGGCTTGAGATTATTTTCTACTCTGTGCTAAATGTGACGACGTCATACTTCGTTTTTCGAATTACTATGCATGTTTTTAATTTGCTTGTGTTTTCTCTAGAGCGTTCTTGTCAGATAGACAGACAGCGAAACTATTAGTATTAATGCTAAGGACACATATTTGAGTATTTAAAAAAGGGAACTAAGTCATGGAAATGGTTTGAACGTTTGCCTATCTTTCACACTACAAATCATGTACATTTTTTTTTCTTTTACGCAACAACACGTGTTAGCTACTGTAGAACATCATAATAGATCTGTTTCGTTTTTTTTACAAAAACCACTATCATGGCTCAGTTGTTGGGGCGCTAGTTTGTACACACTACCACAAACACTCCCCGGTTTACGCTGATAGTGAAATAAACATCCCTCGGCGACGGCCTTGATGTCAGAGGCGGCACGGGGCTCTTGGGACACGGCAACCGGCGGAGGCCCCTAATGCAGCGAGACTGATGATTTAAGTAATACACCTATCCCCTTGTGCAAGACACCCAATAAGCGGACCATGGTGCTTAGATAGCCACTTTGGATCTCGGGGCTCTCAACTACACATTTTAAACAAATGTTAGGTCTATGAGTACACAAAAACTTCCCAAACTTTACCGAAGTTGGGATGGTCTCAACTACTTCTCCTAAAGCCTATTTTGAAACACTCAAGTGAGAGAATTCACATTAAACACGTTTACTATCGTATTTGTTTGTAAAACAAAAAGAAGTAAACGTACATAAAACCGAAATAGTACAGAATAATAGTTCTAACAATAAAAAAAAACCGAACATTTTACAATATAAAATCACAATAGATTGTGGGCCCCTACTCAATGCTATAAAGAAGCAAAAGTCGTCTTAATATCTAGCGGCCTCTCTCACGATAGACTAAGATTTATTTTCAAAAGAATTTTGCCGACAACAGCGAGTGTTTGATTGTAAAGGAAAGTCGACTCGGGATGGTGTCAACAGAATAAAGGTAATCCAACCGTAGCTACAGTATTCTTTTTACAAAATAACCATCAAGTCAAAAATGCAAGAAAATTATTTTTTTAAACTATACCAAAAATTGATTACGGTCGGCTGTGGGCCCCCTAAACGGGTTCGCATTGCTGGGTCTGGCGGCACTGTAGTTCCGCCCCTGTGTGTACTACTATTGTAGCATTAACTGTAAAGTCTAGATGATTTTGTTTGATGTATCTCAAGTTAACTCTAAAATAAATAAAATGTTGATTTTTTTTAAGTTGTTTAAAAAGCGATTAGTGAATCTTTGGTTGTATCTCATGAAAAAAGGAAAATAAAGAAAAAAAAACTAAAATAGCCTGAAAAAAGAAACCAATGCTGATCATTTATCCACTCGTTGTCCTGGACATGAAAACTTCTACACTCGTGGGTTAATAAGTTGTACTACAGCTCACGCGTTTCTGGATTGTTTACAATGTCAACATACGTAGGAAGATAGCTCTGGCATTGATATTTTAAAAAGCTAGTTACACTAGAAACGTAGGCCTATATTTATTTGGCTTGTTATTTCTTTGTGGGTCAAAAATAATTATAATAATAAAATATACATAAATAAAACAAAATTAGTTTGGTTTAGAGTAGTTTGTAACAGGCTAGATTAGGTTGGATCATGGGCGGAACTACAGTGCCGCCAGACCCTGCAATGCGGCGGGGGGGGGGGGGCACGCCATTTAGGGTCACATAGCCGATTATAATAAAAAAATTTTATGGTAAAAAATAATTTTCTGACATTTTTGACTTGACAGTAAAAGCTTTTGTGAATTACAAATCTACAACAGTAGTTATGCTATACAGTAGCTAACACATGCTGTTGCGTAAAAAATATATAAATGCCTGAGCTGCAGTGTGAAAGATAGGCAACCGTTCAGAACACTTACATTACTTATTTCCCTTTTTTAAATAGTTAAATAGGGGTGCTCATTAGCTCCTTTTAATATATTTGTACTAAAGAAATTAAAAAGCAATTACTTCTCTTAATTATTTTTTTAAAATGCATACTAAAAATTGAAATAGCATAAAAAGGATATATATATATATATATATATATATATATATATATATATATATATATATATATATATATATATATATATATATATATATATATATATATATATATATATATATAAGAAATAATACAAATACAAAAAAAAACATCAAATAAACATAACACGAGAAACCATTGCACATACAAAGCTTTCACGCTTTATATTCTTTTGACCGGCTAAATACTAGAGGGTAGGCAATATTACAGCAAACATATTGAATAAACTATTTCTAAATCTAAAAAAATAATTTAAAACAGACTAATGCACTCACACATGACATGTAATTTCTTTCAGTTGAAAATAAAACTTTTTTTTTCAAAACCCGATCAGGCCAGAAATGACAATAAAATATATATTATATATATATATATATATATATATATATATATATATATATATATATATATATATATATATATATATATATATATTTATATATATATATATATATATATATCAGTGTCTGACTCGCGCCTGGCTATACAAAGAACATTCCTGAAGGACGTGCTCCGTATTTTCCGGGCCTTGACACAAGGGCACATATCGCCACACACAACCTTTAGTTTTTTATGCATGTGTTAATTTAGTCTGTTATGGTCTGTTCTAAGTCGAAATATTATGTATTGTTGTTTTCGTGTCAAATTATAATATCCATCATCTTTATTGTAGTGAGGGTGTGTGTCCGACTACATTTGCGTTTGTTTGTTTTTTATTATTCTTTTTATTTCTTTTGGGTGTAGCGAGATTTCCGGTTGTTTTTTCTTTCCCCCAATTTTCGCCAGCTGGTCTGCAATCTCATTACCCTGGATCTGGCAGTGGCCCGGGATCCACTGCAGCACAATTCTGGTATTTATTAGCCTTTCTAGTGCTGTCCTAAGTGATTGAGTATAGGACTCTGGATTTTTTAGGGATTGCAATATAGTTTTAAACATCAACACATTATGTTAGATAAAAGCGTGTAAAAAGTTATGATACGTAACTGTGTTAACAAACTTAATCATGCGCAGTTACACACATCCATCATTATATACAATCTATTCAATGTTTTATTTAAAGAACCCTAAGTAAGTTACCCACATCCAGTATTATATACAATCTATTCCATGTTTTATTTATAGAACCCTAAGTAAGTTACCCGTTCAGCGTGACCGCTTTAATGTTGTGTCTTCATCGAGTAGTTATATAATTTAATCAATATGCAGAAAAGTTGAAGGTGATTTTATATGAAGAAGGCAACACAATACACCTGAAATACCCGCGATACACATTTTAAAACCCCAGTTATTACATTAGACAATAGAGACGTCTGACTTTCTATGTTCATGTTTCCAACCTCTCTACACGTTTACACTAATGTAACAATCTCCAAAACAATCATCACATCCGCGTTTGTCACGATGGGTTTTTTTAGCCCGAGGCCATACACAACTAAAAAATTCTCCGTTTACATCCTGTGTTATAGTTGGATCAATTGGAACACCTCCGCACTTAAAGTATTCTCTTGTCTTACATGTAAGTATAAGCTACTATACTTTCGAGGACATAACATTTTTACAAAGACCTGTATAGGCCTACATGTTTATTTTTTTATATGACAACATATCAGTGCTCAGTTTTTCATATGGTTTTATTTCCAGTTTGGTAAATTTAACGCAGAAAAATTATTACCTTAGTACTAGTTTTTAGTTATGTTCATAAGCTTGGCAAAATATTTTTAAATGTGATAATTATTTTATCTACAGGCACATTCTGAGTGTTAGAAGTACTTTACGACTGTATTTTCAATGGCCTTTACAAACAGAAATCAAGAGCTTGTTGTAAGGGATATCGTAGCAGACAGATTAAGCGACTACTCGGCTGTAGCTAATGATGTTTCATTTGTAGAACATCTACTGAAAAATGAGAAGGATGTCAATGTGAAGAATCCTCAAGGTTTCACTCCCTTGATGGTTGCGGCTATTAATGGTAACACAGAACATATTCTGCTTTTATTAGAGCACGGCGCGGATGTTGATATGAGAGATGACACAGGCATATCACCTTTTTTATTTGTCGCGTATCTGGGTGACGTAAAAAACATGGAGGTTCTTGTCAATAACGGGACAGACGTCAAACAGAAAACAAACGAAGGTAAAAACGCGTTGATCTTATCTTCATATGCTGGCCATTTTGACGCTGTAAAATACCTACTTGACATTAAACTTATTGATGTTAACGGCGTCGATAATTTTGATCTCACTGCACTGATGTACGCCGCACAAAAGGACAAAGTTGATGTTCTAAACTTGCTCATAGAACATGGGGCAGATGTCAACAAGCAGAACAGTAGACAAACTACTGCCTTACATTTTGCTGCGCTTTACGGTAAGGACGATAACATCGACGCTTTGATACAAGCTGGCGCTAACGTGAATATTAAGGCAATGCTTGATTACAGTGCCGTTCAACTTGCGGCACATGAAGGCTATGAGTCGATCGTAAAGAAGTTACTGGACAACAACGCGGAGATGAACATGGAAGAATATTCCTCACAGAAGGTTTTCCTGAACTGCTTCACCAGCCTGCATATAGGCGTGTATTTCCTACTGCTCAGGCGGTCGGGGCCGAAAGCCATTGTAACTCACGTGTTTGCATTGTTGACCTTTTTTGTTGTGTCTGCTTTTCTAAACATCATTCGATTGTTAATAAGATTTGTCAGCTACCATTAATCGTGTAATGACCCGGTGTGGTAATTTTATAAACTGTATATTATAACTTTCAATGTTATGTTAGTTTTATTAAAGATTATTAATTTGTTTTGTAAAAAGTTTGAACTTGTCTACCTGAAGATCTATAGGACAGTAGAAGTAAAATTCATCTATTTCGCGACCTCAGTATAAGAATTCGTAGTGAGTTCAGTTTAATGCCCGGCCACCTCAATGTTTCTAACACGAGTCATGTACCAATCAGTGCTTGCAAGTTCCGGTACATCCTACAGGCACCAATCTATGATCCCAACTGGAGACTTCCAGGCTAGTAATCAAGTAAATAAAGATTGTAGGATTTGACCGAGCCACGCCATATTTTTTTAATGTATTTTAAAAATGAATCCTAATAACTCAATTTGTTGTTTTTAAATTCTTTACTAAAGCTAAAAGAAAACTGTTGCATTAGAAGCAACGTTAAAAATTACAGAATTTGTCACCAACACACGAACAGACACATAAAAAAATAATAATACGACACACATAAAAATCCTTAATAATAATGTAACGTAACGTAACGTAACGTAACATAACGTAACGTAACGTAACGTAACGTAACGTAACGTAACGTAACGTAACGTAACGTAACGTAACGTAACGTAACGTAACGTAACGTAACGTAACGTAACGTAACGTAACGTAACGTAACGTAACGTAACGTAACGTAACGTAACGTAACGTAACGTAACGTAACGTAACGTAACGTAACGTAACGTAACGTAACGTAACGTAACGTAACGTAACGTAACGTAACGTAACGTAACGTAACGTAACGTAACGTAACGTAACGTAACGTAACGTAACGTAACGTAACGTAACGTAACGTAACACAAAATACGAACATAGGATACTCCTATCTGGCCTGTTTGGGTTTATGAAAAAACATGTTTTAATTGAGGTCAATTAAAACAAATTACAACATCATGTCATGTGTGTAAGTGCATTAGTATGTTTCGTGAAAATCAGTTTTTTAATGTATCTCTGCTATAAGACTTATTTACGTCTGGTTGGTCAAAAGAATATAAAACATGAAAGCTTTGTGAAAGTAATGGTGTCTCGTGTTATGTTTACTTAAATGTTTTTTTTTTGTATTTATATTATTAATTTTAAATACATTTCCTTTTTTGTACAATGCCATTCTTTAGTAAGTACTTTATTAAAATATAATAATTAAGAGAAGTAATTGCTTTTTAATTTTTTTAGTACAAAATCTATTAAAAGGAGCTTATGAGCACTCTTATTTTACTATTTAAAAAAGGGATATAAGTCATGGAAGTGATTTGAACGTTTGCTTATCTTCGATAAGTTTGATTGTAGGAGAAATAGGACTCGGCTTTCACAGTGGTTTAAAAACAAAGGAAATACGAATATACAAGAATGTGGGGTGGTGTCTATAAAATAAAGAAAATCCAACCGCAGCTACGGTAATCAGTTTACGAAATCAAGTCAAAAACGAAAGAAAATTCAATTTTTTTAACAATAAAAAAAATTCTATTTGTTGGCTGTGGGTCCCATAATTGGCGTGGGACCCCGCATTGGCGTGCCGCCACTGTTTCTATACCAAAGTAAATAGTCTCAAAATAATCACGCTATGAGGCACACATGGACGCACCGTTCAACATTGGTGCTAGTGCATTGTTTACTAGGCCGTCAAGTAAGTATTTATCTACAGTGATTTTATTTACTTTCACAGCAAATTGAAAACTATTAAGTCTACATTTAGAGGCAATTTACTTTCATAATTATAGATCTAGTTCTTGGTTAATATGTGTGTGTTATAAAAGAACAGAGTAAACAGTTTCTATTCTTGACGAAATTATTTTCCTTTAGTCGATAAAGTAGAGCAATCAAGCCAATGGCGTAGCCAGGTTAAAAAAAATTATATATATATATATATATAATATATATATATATATCAATTCTGTATATATATATATATATATATATATATATATATATATATATATATATATATATATATAATAGCCGTCCCGGCCAGGCCCTGCTCTGGCTTCTGTGAAAAACCTTTCTGTTAAAGACCATCACCTGTGTGTTTAGTAATCATCATAAACCCGGCATTGCCCACCCAAACCACAACCAACCAAAACCAAAACAACAAAACGCAAACATAACGCTAACACAATTACAAATACAAACGAAAACAAAAACCTAACAACAAACCCAACCACAACCACAAACACCAATACAAACACAAAGAAAAAACAAACAAAAAAGCAAACGAAAACAAAAACATAACAACAAACCCAACCACAACCACAAACACCAATACCAACCAATAACAACACAAGAAAAACGAAAAAGCAAACGAAAACAAACCAAATCCAAACGCAAAAACACAAATACAAACCCAAAGAAAAAAACACAAACAAAAACGAAAAAAGAAAGAACCACTAACGCAACCACTAACGCAAACCCAACCTAAAAACAAAGAAAACACTAACGCGAACATAACGCAAAGTGCTCACAGTCTAGCCCGGGGCTGAATCGCCTGTTTTAGCTTAATAAACGACTATAGTACCCCAACTTATTCATAGTCTTTTGCACTCACTTAAACAAACGCGCCTGTTTCAATTTAATGAACAATTATAATACTCCAAGCTTATCCGTAAAATACCTACAACATTTGCACTTGATCAATCCCCGCTAATTATGTAATTTTTTTTTCCCAACACCAAAACAAAGTAATAAAAAGTAAATTCTTTTCCACTAATGCAATGGTTTTATAAAGGGAAGTAATTGTGTTTTCCTAATTTATCAAAGGGAAGTAAGTGCTATAGGACTAAATAAAGACATAATTAGAATTTTTGTAAAAGATGATATTTTTTAAAACGTGTGTTTAATGAACATGCCGAAAATTATTTCTTTCAGTTTGATAAATGAAAATTATTTCCCAAAACTTTCAATATTAATTTTTTAACTCATAAATTTAGACCATAAGAACTTTAATTATCTAACTCTTAAATCCATCTAAGATCCACGACAAACATATATGTTACATACAGAATTGAGCTTTATATTATATATATATATATATATATATATATATATATATATATATATATATATATATATATATATATATATATATATATATATATATATATATATTAGGGCGTAAAATTGATAGTTCGTCCTGGGCGCCGAAATAGATCGGTACGCCTTTGTATATTACTATCTAAATTATATTGTTCGCCTTATAGGTAGCGCCGGCCCTGGACAAGTTATATGTATACGATCCTCTACCCCGAGTTTGCTCAATGACTTTAGTAACACCGAGGCCACACGACTAAACAAATGTTGGTCGCATCCTGTGGGTAAAAAAAAACCCCTAAACCCACACTTGAAACATCATATTAGTCTTTTATAGGTAAGCTACTTTTAGTTTAAAAAACATCGAAGTATACATCTGTTATTTATCAAATTTGACAACTAGTTGTACTTGGTTATTGTTTTTTTGTTATATTATTTTACAATAAACTCTTAAAAACACCAACTGTTAAATCGAAACCACCTTTTCTTACGGTTTTTTAATTTCATTGTTATAATATCAGTTCTCTTTGTTAGAGGAAGACAAAGTGTGTATGTATGTATTGTTTTCTCAATATAACCACACGCATTGATTAGAAGAATAGAAAATTACAACAGAGAGACATTTAGTAAGACTTTGTTTTATTTTTTAAGAGAGAGCTGTCGAGTAGATTTAAAATCGAAAACATGTTTTTAAAAATCAACAAAATGTTTGTCAAAATCAACAAAATGTTTGTCAAAATCAACAAAATGTTTGTCAAAATCAACAAAATGTTTGTCAAAATCAACGAAATGTTTGTCAAAATAAAAAAAAATGTTTTACTAATCGTTATCAAAGCATGTATGCCCCATTGCATGTTTTTTTTTATTATTTTTATTGTATAACCTCTGTAATTATTTACTAGTTGCTTAAAAAATAATGCTATGTGTTTTACTAAAGTTGCTAGGATAACACCGAAAAAATCACGCCATTGGTCACACATGGTCGCAGCGTTCAACATTGTAATCATCTTATAATATTTATTTATGCTTTCAGCTGTTTAAAAACTGCCCAGTCTAAACTGTTTGAGACAAGTTGCTTTTATCTACATAGTTTTTAGTTTATTTTTGGGAGCGATAAAAAAACAGCGGGAATAAACTGTTTGTATTCTTGACGAAAAAACGTTCCTTTAATCGGTAAAATAGTGCGATCTAGCAAGTGGCGTAGCTAGGAATCGGTCATGGAAAATTTTAAAACAACGCTGAATAATTACCAGCTACTTTCACACCCGTTATTATTTTAAAAGATTTGATTTAATTAAGTACAATAGTATGCACAATAAAATATGAACTTGGTGCATACTTTTTTAAAATTAGTGATTTAACATCGAATTTTTCAGACTTAATGTTAATATTCTAATGTAATTCTATTATTCTTGAACGAAATTTAGTTTTGTGTAAAAGAAAATTGCCATACTGTTCGAAGATTCACATTTTTCGCCTCTCGCTACTGCATGTCAGCAAATATATTTGTTCTTTATTAAGGTCTTAGGCTCCAGAAAAAACCAACTTCTTAATTAAAATGTTTTATTGATTTATTTGTGTACATCTAAGGTAGGGTACTTAAAGGAAACTATTTCCATGCATAAGGGACTCTATTGAAAATATGGTTGCCATGGCTACGGCGGCCATCTTGAAAAATACATCCTTTTATGGAGTTCTATATTTCATAAACTAATAAATAAGTAAATAAATAAATAAATATATATATATATATATATATATATATATATATATATATATATATATATATATATATATATATATATATATATATATATATATATATATATATATATATATATATATATATATATGGACGGAGTGGTCTAGCGGTAGAGAGCTGGACTGCTAACCCGTAAGTCCCGGGTTCAAGTCAGTAGACCGTCCCTGAGTCCACCCAACTCTGATGGGTACCTAACTCACGTTAGGGAAAGTAAAGGTGGCTGGGCATAGTGCTGACCACACTATCTCTTTATATGTCGAGGTCACAGAAATAAGTGAACTCGACTTCACTTGCCCCATAAACCGTCAGGTTTGAAAGGGAAACTTTACTTTACTTTACTATATATATATATATATATATATATATATATATATATATATATATATATATATATATATATATATATATATATATTAAGAAGTTGTATATATATATATATATATATATATATATATATATATATATATCGGCTTTATAACCATTGATCATTCTTGAACTACAAATGATAGAGTCAGCTGGCTAGTTTTAATAACAGAAAACAATCTAGGAATACTTTTTTTTATATTTCCCGGGTCGAAATTCCCTTAAAAATAATGCTAAATTCCATGGTATTTCACCATAAAAAAATTAGAAAATTTAAAACCAATATTTCTGTTTTTCGGTTACAAAAACTAGCCAGCTGACTCTATTGGTGTTAGTACAAGAAGGATCATTGATTATATGGACGGTTTATATGTTACTTTTTGAAATTTTAGAACTCCACAAAAGGTAGTTTTTCCAAGATGGCCGCCGTTTCCAATGGATTCATATTTTCAGAAAAGGCCCTGTTACATGCAAATATTTTCCCTTTAGTACCCTAATATATACATACACACATAAATGAAAAAGGCTTATTAATTAAAAGGTTTTTTCCCCGTTTTTTCCGGAGCCTACCCCCTTCAAACACCTGATACTCTCACGTTATGTCTTGTAACGGATTTATTACGTCCCTTGCATTGTGTATATTATGGTTACGTCCCTTGAGTGTTTATCGTGTAGGTGATGTGTACCTGTGAGGGCTGTGAGTTAACTGCAGACAGACCCAGAGATAAGTCATGTCGTTTATGCTCTTGAAAAAAAAAGAACTTTATAGGCACTTTGTGGAGTCACCCCCCCCCTAAGTACAAAGTATATATATATATATATATATATATATATATATATATATATATATATATATATATATATATATATATATATATATATATATATATATATATATATATATATGTATATGTATATACTGGTCCTGGGAAAAGATAATTGGTTGAGGACTGATACAGATTTACAATAGTAATATTTCTTTCTTACTATTAGCCTACATTTAAGATGGTTTACTTTGACATAGATCTCATACAAAACGTCTAATTATAAAAAAAAGATTTAAAAAAACAAACAACCTGAAAATGGAAATGTGTAATTAAATGATGATTCATGGGATTTTTTTCCTTCGGCGTGGTGGGCTGAGGAGACGGGGGGGGGGATGGATTTGGGTTTTTAAGTAGAGCTGAAAAAAAAATTTGTGATTACAGAGAATTAAAATAATACAATTTTTAAGCAACCGGAGAAGTTATGTTATTACAATGAGACACGTCAAAGCAAACACTCTTCCCTTTCAAACATCTATATCTATAGCAGTCCTCAAACAGTTATTTTTATACATATATATATATATATATATATATATATATATATATATATATATATATATATATATATATATATATATATATATATATATATAATTCAATTGTTTTAAACATTTAAAATAGTAATAATAATTTATTTGATGGTTTTACACAGCATCAAAGACATGAACACTAATTGCATATATAGTAATCAAATGGAGAAATTAAAATGGCATAAGAACTAGACTAAAGTAGGTGTGCAAACTTGGTTTCTCTTGATTGCATAGTTTACTGTGCGCCATCCTTAGTTGTAAAGTCAAAAGTTCACATTGTAGCCACCCATGGACGGAAATAGAAACGACCGTGGGAGAAGTGTCTCTTTAATACACATATTGATCTTTCATTCCAAAACTTTCCAGGACACAAAATTGACCCCTGGCAAAGAGGGCACGCAGTCCGGTTTAGTGAGGGGAAGTGAGGAGGGGGGAGGTGTGTATCTCTATCTACCATTCAGTACATGATAAACATGATAAAAATAATGTTCGTGTTACAAAACAATTATACTGTTTGTACAAAATTTGTAAGATTTATATTTTTTTTTCTGCAGGAATATTGTTGAGTTTAAAAAAACATTTTTTACGTCTGTTGTTGAGATGGAATCAATAATCACCTACCAACACTATGTTTACTTAAGGAACATGAAAGAGAAAGAACGGGCCTTATTGAACGCTGTTACAGAGGAGAATGTTACATTTGTGAAGTATCTATTAAAAGGTGGCACAAATTTAAATATAAAAAGTTTTGAAGGATTAACTCCCTTAATGTCTGCAGTCAGTACTGGCAACACAAAACTAATTCTATGTTTACTTGCATATGGCACTGATGTTAACGCTACAGATGGCCAAGGTAACACTGCACTAATGCACGCCGCACAGCAAGATAATATTGACATTTTGAACATACTCATACAGTACAGATCAGATGTGAACAAACGTGGCCATGGCCAGTGTACGGCCTTACATTTTGCTATAATGTTTGGTAAAGCTGACAACGTTCGTATTTTGATAGAAGCCGGGGCTGATGTGGACATGACAGAAGGTCAAGGCTATACTCCCCTTTTACTTGCAGCCGAACGAAACCAATTGAAGATGGTGACGCTACTGCTGGAGAACAACGCGGATTCAGACATGGAAAACGATCTCGCTCTAAATGTTCTCCAGCACTGTCTGATTAACAATTACACGGACGTGTTCGTGCTTCTGCTTCAGCGAGCAACCCAGTTTGCGCTCTTTGCACACGCGATAAATGTAGGACTTAGATTGTTCTTTTCTGTTTGTACTGGCTTCTTTGAATTGTTCGTGGCAGCCATTTCCTACAAATAAAGTGTTTACATAGCATATTTGAGATGATTTGTATGATCTTTTAGATAAAAGAGATTTGTAGCTTTACTTTAGAATTCTACAATAATATATTTAGCTTCAATCATGTAAGATTTTTTAATAAGGTAATAACATTAGAATCAAATATTACATTTTATTTTTAGAAATATAACTATATATCCATATAATAATAATTATTTATAATATAAAGGATTAACATAATGGACCCCAGTAATTAGTTTATATTTGGAATATTTGAATTGCACCGATTATTTTATAAACAGTGTTTCTTCCAGACTTTTTCCTCCGGGAGTGGGGGGGACACTTGAAATTTTCGGAGGGGGGTGTAGACTTTATTCGGGGGGGGGGGGGGCGGACACTTTTAAAAGTAGGGCCTATATATTTTCTATATAAATTTCATTTAGTTCGGGGGGGGGGGCGGTAGATTTTCATCGGGGGGACTCGGCCCCCCGCCAGAAGAGATGCATGGAAAAAAACTGTTTAAAAACTGTTCATACAGGTACGTTTATAATATTGCTATCGTGTCATAGTTCGTCAATCTAGATCTTGTATAGCCTACATCTTGGATGGTACTGTGTTAGACCACTTCCTCATTGGATCATCTGTGTGCCACCCACACTTCTGGCACCCACCACTATGCCCCAAAACGTCGTTTATATGTGTAAGGTCGCGTGTCGTTTGTCCTGCCTAGCGAGATATTATCTTTTAAAAGAGATCTAATCTACACTTGAGAAATATTTGACGGTCTGTCTTTAACGTCCGTATATCTAACCTGTGGATGTAAAATACAGTTCATTTTGTGGTGATGATGAAGCAATTATTAGGGTTATAAATATGAGATGGATATGGAGTAGGATATAATTACTTAGATTTATTGTTTTGGGAAGGGGGGAAATACCCATAGGGGTTAATTAAATGTGGGTAATTTACCTGGGGTGTAATGACGGGTGCGATAATCCTGTACCTACATCCCTTGATAGCATCATGACTCTGTCACAGATGCTCAGATTCTCAGTCTTCCCGCCCGTGGCGACACGAATACCCAAAGTTTGATTAGTTTGCAATCTGTAATGTGCTGTCTGTGCAAAACTGTATGGCTCCGGTATGCAAATGGAAGGGAACACATTCATTTTGCCACCCACAAAATACAGGGTAAGGAGGTTCATCGAGAAAAAATAAATCACGATAAGAATCTATTGCCTCGTTTTAATAGCAACAACTGAAGTGCTAGTCATCTCTGATATAATTGTATAATACACTTTTGTCGACAGTTATTGTCAATAAAAATCAGTGGATTATTTAATAATGATTTAACAGTATGTAAGAGATAATGGGTAATTGGTTGTATAGAAGGTTAATTAATAAATATAACATGTGTGTCGCCCTATCTTAGCAAGCTTTTATATTCATAACTAATTGGTTTTGTTTTTTAATGTACTATTGTATTAATCTGCTCGATCTTTAATTTTAAATTAATTTCTTTAAAAAAGATACAATCTTATAAGGATATCAATTTTCGGTGTGTCTTACACCTATATATTCGGCCCTACGAGCCATGGATGTTGATTCTATTATTAATTATACGGCGCGTGTCATATTTGCCTCACTCTTGCTTTAAATGTATTTAATACTTTGTAAGTGTTAGAGAGAGGTACACATTTCAGCTTGAAAGCGCATACAATAAGCTTAGAATTTCTGTTCTTTAATAAAGATAATTCAATGCTTATATCCAATTAATGTTCAATTTCATATGATTAAAACAGTTTTGATTCGTTTATTATTAGCTTGTATATTTTTCGAAAATTATTTTATATTTTAAAGTTTTAATCGTGAATTCATTGCAATCTGTATTTGTAAGGTATTGTAGGGATATTAATAATCAATAACAGACTGATCGAGAACTGAATTAAAAAGCTTACAGTATTGCTGAATTTTAATTGTCGCTCAAGTTTTTGTCTTAATAAAATTAGAGGCGAAGTGCAAAAGTGTCTGTACGTATAATACATTTGTTTAATGTATAACCCGGGACTTGAAACACTTCAGACAGTTTCTTCAAGTATTCATAGATGTTTCCACTGTGTACTTTTACATAGTTTCTGACATTTCATCAATGTACTGCCTTACGTAATTCTATATTGTTGAGTGAAGTCGATAACACCGATGAAATATCCTCGAAATAATTTAAACGAGGTTGCTTCTTATTTGTCTACTCTATTTAGATCATAACTAAATTTTTAAAGAATTGCATATTACATCTCTTAATTTGTACATTATGTGATGTAAATTGTACTCCGGAGAAAATTAAAATTAAAACCAGCAACATCAAAGATCCAAAACTAAGCACGACCTACTTGACAACAAAAGCTGCATAAGTAAGTGATAATAAATACCATCTAAACAAGGTCCAATATTATTTTCTAACAGTACAAGCAACGCCTCTAACCAAAACATTCTCTACTTTTTTATGAGACATTTAGCTTTAAAACTTGCTGGGTGGGTGAATAAAACATGTAACACGAACAAACTCGTGCCCGTTGTATTTGTTCTCAATAGGCGAAATACCATGCTAATGTAAGACTGCCTGCGTCTATTTATATCAGATGCCGTTGTCGATGTACCATGGGAATCAGGATGTAAATTGCTGCCGGCGAGTTCTGACGTCTAACCTACTTGACACATAAGACATTTTATAAGGAAAAAATTGAATTTACCTTTTTGAACCGAACGGTTATAAGGGCAGGTTAAGTTTATCTCTTTCTTATGATGTGATAGTGCGGTCAGCACAATGCACAATCGCCTCTACTTAATACCAACGTAAGCTAGGTAGGAACCTGAGAACAAAATGTATCAGTGGAAATAATACCGTGGACAAATCATCTCAGACAAAATATCTCACGATAAAAATTTTATAGAATATAATATTTATAGTATTTAGGATGATTTAAGTCGATTACAACATCTTTAACTTAAATTTCATATGATTTTTACTGAATTTTTACACATAATTATTTTGTGACTACTGCGTAAATTAGATAAAGTCTTGATTTTATGTTTATTGTATTTCAATTAAACATAAAATACCAAAAAAAATTCTTAAAAAACGTTTTAATAACAAGCTTTTATGTAATAATGCACTAAAAAGTAGAAAATAAATTATACACTACTATTTAAATTACTATAAAGAAAAGCGTGGGTCACTTTAGTACTTTAGTACCTATTGGATACTTTACTAATATTTGAGAAGAGACCCACGCTTTTCTTTATAGTAATTTAAATAGTAGTGTATAATTTATTTTCTACTTTTTAGTGCATTATTACATAAAAGCTTGTTATTAAAACGTTTTTTATGAATTTTTTTTCAGTACTTTACATGTTTTATTTACAATAGAGTTACATGACTAAAAACCATTGCGCGCCTACTGAACGTGATGGCGCAGCTATTGAACGTATCGTGATGGCGCAGCTATTGAACGTGATGACGCGTGTGGTGTGGTTGGCTAGACATGCCTAATAATTCGGTCCAAATTTTCATTAATTCATAAAAAATTAATTAGGCATCCAATTAAGTCAAATTTATTTTCAGATTGCATTGTCCTGATGTCTTGACCCACGTGCCAAGTGTGAATCGTATCGGTCAAGTAGAAGTTTCCGAATTTTCACTCCTGCGTTTCGGTCTAGACTGACGACTGGCGACTGGCGACTGACGAGGAAGTGAGTTAAATAAAAGCTTGTAAAAATGGTGATTTTCTTGTATTTGTTTTAAAGGCGATTGATGAATCCTTTTTCCATGTCATGAAAAAGGAAAACAAAACAAAAAAACAACAGCTAAAATTGCCTGAAAAAGAAACCAATGTTATCCATATATCCACTTGTTGTTTTATTTCACGATATCCTGGACATGAAAACTTCTACACTTGTGTGTTTATAAGTTGACATACAGCTCACGACTTGTTGGGTTGTTTGAAATGTCAAAATATCTAGGAAAATAGCTCTGGCATTGACATTTTTTAAAGTTAATTTACAATAGAAACTTAGGCCTTTATTTATTGTGTTTGTTGTTTCTTTGTGGTTCAAAAAGTAATTATAATAAATACACTAATGAGATTTAAAATTAAAAAATATAGAGTCTATTCAGTGTTTTATATTTATAGAACATTAACTAGCCATACAGCAAGATCGCTTTTATATGAAGAAGTCAACACAATACACCTGCAAAACCCGTGATACTTACAGAATAATATACGCATTTTAAAACCCCAGTTATTACATTGGATTCTAGAGACGCCTGACTTTCTACACTCATGTTTCCAACCCCTCTACACGTTCAAAGTTAGGTAACAATCCCCAACACAATCATTACACCCGCGTTTGTTGCGATGGGTTTTGTAAGCTCGAAGCCATACACAACTAAACATTCACGGTTTACATCATGTTCTATAGTTGGATCAATTGGAACACCTTCAAACTTAAAGTATTCACTTGTCTTAAATGTAAGTGTAAGCTTCTATAGGTTCGAGGACATAACATTTTATACAGATGTTTATACATGTTTATTTTCTTATGTCACAACATTTCAGTGTTTTATTTCCAGTTTGGTAAATTTCGCGCAAAAAAATTATTACCTTAGTAGGGCCTACTAGTTTTCAGTTATGTTCATATGCTTTACAAAACATTTAAAACGTAACGTAACGTAACGTAACGTAACGTAACGTAACGTAACGTAACGTAACGTAACGTAACCTAACCTAACCTAACCTAACCTAACCTAACCTAACCTAACCTAACCTAACCTAACCTAAACTAACCTAACGCAACCTAACCTAACCTAACCTAACCTAGCCTAACTTAACTTAACTTAACTTAACCAAACCTAACCTAACCTAACCCAACCCAACCCAACCCAACCTAACCCAACCCAACCCAACACAACCTAACCTATCCTAACCTAACCTAACCTAACCTAACCTAACCTAACCTAACCTAACCTAACCTAACCTAACCTAACCTAACCTAACCTAACCTAACCTAACCTAACCTAACCTAACCTAACCTAACCTAACCTAACTTAACCTAACCAAACCTAACCTAACCTAACCTAACCTAACCTAACCTAACCTAACCTAACCTAACCTAACCTAACCTAACCTAACCTAACCTAACCTAACCTAACCTAACCTAACCTAACCTAACTTAACCTAACCAAACCTAACCTAACCTAACCTAACCTAACCTAACCTAACCTAACCTAACCTAACCTAACCTAACCTAACCTAACCTAACCTAACCTAACCTAACCTAACCTACCTAACGTATCCTGACCTGACCTAACCTAACCTAACCTAATTTAACCCAACCCAACCTAACCTAACCTAACCTAACCTAACCTAACCTAACCTAACCAAACCAAACCAAACCTAACCTAACCTAACCTAACCTAACCTAACCTAACCTAACCTAACCTAACCTAACCTAACCTAACCTAACCTAACCTAACCTAACCTAACCTAACCTAACCTAACCTAACCTAACCTAACCTAACCTAACCTAACCTAACCTAACCTAACCTAACCTAACCTAACCTAACCTAACCTAACCATATAAACACAAAAGCCTATTGTTAAAAATGACAAAGTTACGCCTTATTAAAGCTGATTTGAGATGGAATTAACACTCTAATGTGAATTTTCTAATGCACATCTATATATATAATTCTCTTCTGGGCTATTAGGGGCAGATAATTTAGTTTGAAACGATTTTTAACTAAGAGGAGGCTGCTTTCACGTGGGGGGGGGGTAGTGTTTTTAAGCAAATATTTTCAATGGCAGCATTGGTACTGTCGAATTCACAAATTATAAATTACTGAAAAGTAGAAAAAAAAAACAACTAAATAGCGGCGTATGATACGCAGCGGGTCGGCTCGTTATAAATAACATACTTAGTCATTACAATTTAGCCTTTCGAAAAGCATATTTATCTGGTACAGTTTATTCTAGCCGAATGTTCGTGTTCAAACAGCTTTAGATGTGAACTTATCAGAGTTCTAATCCGGATTTTATTTGTGTTGGTAATAGCAAATTATTTGTTGACTGAACATTGGGTTGCATTATACTTTTATTTTGAATAACAGCTTAAATAAGAAGTATAATATTAAAAAAAAAAGGTTTAATACATTAAAGTAGTACAAAAGGTATACACATTTTTTTCATGTACTGGGAAAATCCGAAATTATTTTACTAATTTTACTGAATAGTTAACACTACTGCGTTGCTGTTATAACATTACAGTTTATTGTGTACGGAACACAGTAGACCTTTCTGGTATACTCCCAACTTACTAGAGGGTACACGGCTACAAATTGAACTTAAAAATCGACTTTTGTCTTATAAGTTGAGAGTAACTGCGTTGATGAACTTTGGAACTTCTTCTCTGCTTACAATTTAAGTAACCTAGTTATACAAGATGGCCTCACCTGGGAACACCGATAGTGAGTATGATTAACAGTTAATATATATATATATATATATATATATATATATATATATATATATATATATATATATATATATATATATATATATATATATATACATATGTTACGGTCAAAGCCCGAAGTCGGCCAATGCTAGGATTGGCCGGCCAATCCGCGCATTGGCCAAGATCGCCTCCCATAGGTCGGTCAAAGTCCGAAACTTTGCTTGATTTCGGCCTTTGGCCGGCCAATCCGCAGACTTGCCATGGTGGACCGTCCAAAGTCTTAATTAGAAGATCATCTGGTTAGGGACGACCGGCCAAAGTCCGAATTAGAAGATCGTGAGCAGATTTTTTTTTTATGCCGTAAGGATCATGAAATTAAGTCTTTATTGATTATTAATTAAAGTAAATGACAGAAACATTCAAATATTTTATTGTACTATAGTCTCAATCTATCAATATCATCATTTGTTACAATAAGTTGAACTTTTATGGCATTTAGAATGATATAGCAGCTTGTTATTTTTACACTTGCAGCGATTTGTTGTGCACTTAGTTGTGCAATTGCAGCGAGTGTAGCCTTGGCCCCGAGTCAATGATTGTGAAGATGCGATGGTTCGAGGTTAATTTTGCTCAGTGTCAACTGAGGACAATAAGAGCAGTTTTTCGTGAAGAATTGAAAACTCACTACTAGCATACAGTTGTTTTAGAACACCATGTTCCGTTCCTAATTTATAGAAACCGCCCTCGACGCTCATGACAACTGCAATCACGCTTCGGGGATCACCGTGACCTCTTTCAACATCTGGAAAACGGATGCGTACATTGTCACCTACTTCACCATCTTTAAATTTTGTATTTGATGTTTTAAGCATCTTAGCACCTTGAGTTTGCAAGCCAGTATGAGCTGCTGATCTGTGTTCCATGATGGCTTGTTTTTTGTGACACAATCTGCAGGTAATGTTCCCTCCGTACCCTTCGTCTGCTTCATTGGGTATTCCACAAATAGCATGGACATCGTTGCCACAGGATCCACAAGAATGAGCTGCACTACAATGTTTTTCACAAACTATATAGAATCTGTTGGCCACATTATTGTCACGCAACTGGTCTGGACGTTCCGCCACGGCAGCAGATGTGTTAGCTGAGGATGTCGTTGCATTTATGGCAACCTCCATTTCTTGTTCAATTTTCTCAAGATCTTCTCAGTAACTATTTTATCGAGAGCCCATATATGGAAACTAACATGGATTTACATTTTTTTCTTTTGACAGCCATCTGCTATGTCTGTCTCATGGTCTGACTGCCCTTTTGATCCATGTCGCCTTGCATATAGAATGCTATACAAACAAGAGCTAAACAAGACGTTACTCTCAATGAAAACGAACCCAGAATAATGAAAATGCGATCACAACTTAGTCTAGATAGAACATTGGCCATGACATCCCGGCCAGTGCTCGCATTGGCCGGCCAATGTACAAAATACGCTGTCAAGTTTAAGCGCTTCGGACTTTTGGCCAGTACGTCCATGCCATTGCGCGCATTGGCCGGCCAATGTACGAAATACGATCTTAGTGCTAAGTTCTTCGGGCTTTGGCCAAGAGAGCCGGCCAATGCGCAGATTGGACGGCCAATCCGGGGTTTGGCCGCACTTCGGGCTTTGACCGTAACATATATATATATATAACGCTTACGTAACCATTAAAAGTAGCTTGTGCATATAACTTTTTTTAAATTAGTTTTTAACTAGTTTTTAATTATTTATAGTAACATCGACGTCACCGGAATTTCCCCATGTGTGGAGCAAGGGAAATTTTGTGGGTGGAAGTGTAAATGTATACGAGATTATCGACCCTAGTGACCCAAATGATGTCAAGTTTGTTGGCAAAGATATTTCTGTCGCAACGGCTAAAACCGAAAAGGAAAAAGTTAGTTGACTTGTTAAAAGTAATCTTAAAATGTATTGATTGCTATATATTTTATAAATAATTTTAATAATGAAGTAAAATGAAACATAATGTGAAATGATCATATAATATATATTTTAAATGACACAAAACAATATAGTGTATTTTAATCTATAGCAGGGGTCTCCAAACTTTTCAGCCCGAGGGCCGGATTAACTATCAAATATCAGCACGTGGGCCAGAGCTTCTTCCAGGCATCTCTTCAGGGTGGCGGAACCCCCCCCCCCCCCCCCCCTAAGAATGTCTACCGCCCCCCCCCCCCCAAACGAAATATATAATTTATATCGAAATACATATCCACCCCGGGGGAAAAATCTGAACGAAACACTTTCCGTGGCCGACAACACACTCGAGGTCCAAGTTTGTTCGCAATTTGTTCTTGTATTTCATTTTTGAAAATTTTTGTTCACATATTCCAAAATTTGAAAGGTACTTTGATAAAAAAAAATTAATATTAGGAAAGTCTTCCTTGGGCAAAAAAAAAAATATTTTAAAAACTTATTAAAAACCCACCCACCCTTCTTTGAACTTGTCTCTAATGATGTCATTTTGTTTTGCTTGCAATTCAATGACCTCCAGCTGTAGTTCATTTGGGCAACTGGTCACATTGGCTTAAAATGGGTTTTGAAACAGTATCAATTCTTCTGCCATTGAATCCAAGCCAGAAAGACGATACTGAAACTGCAGCTGGAGGTCCTTGATGAACATTTTTTGTCCGTAGACAAAAAGATCTCCGCGGGCCGAATGAGAGGACCTTGAGGGCCGCATCCGGTCCGCGGGCCGTAGTTTGGAGACTCCTGATCTATAGCAGCATTTTTCTCATTGTTTCCTTTCGTTTTTTTTAAACTAATCACGTAGAATTTAGAGAAAGATTTTTAATGCAATGCGTTTCCAAACGCCTTGAAATTCAAATCTTAGGGTTATATATAAAATTTTCATGGTTACCTCTATAAAAAAATAATTTCAATAAAAAATCCTAAAAATAATATCGTGCATTTTAAAGTCATTATGATTTTGTCCTGTTTATCTGTGCGTGTAATGTTTACTTCCTTTCTTGCAGAATAAAGCTGAACTGAACATTCTGATGCTAATAAAACACCCGAGGATTGTAGCGTTCTATGGCTTCCAACAAACCCCGACGCTCTTGACTATTTTTTATAAGTACATGAAACTGGTAAATAAGTTTGATTGTAACAGACATATAAGTAAATAACACTGTATACCTTTGGATAAATAAATTCACTTAATCATAAACTGTTTTTTAACATTGAATGTCAAAGATGTATAAAAATTCTACACACTTTAACATCGTAAATAAAATGTTTTAATTCTAAGATACAGCATGATTTCTGATTTTAATTTCTACACATATACTACCTCCAACATAATCACTCTGTTAGAATTCTAAAAATTGAAATTGACATTTTACATATTTTTTCTAAGTGTGACAGCCTTTCTATAACAACTGAATTCGAAAAGACAATATTATTTACCTATCAAACTTGAAATAAACAACAATCTGTTTTATTTATTAATAAGGGATCCGTTGCGAAGCTGATAAAAGAGAGAGGTTCACCTCTAGATGAGGCCACAGTCCGCCTCTACACCAGACAAATTCTTGAAGGCTTGAACTTCCTACACAAAAATAAACCATCCATCATTCATAGAGACATTAAAGGTAAGTTGATTTATTTTGTTTTGTAAAGTAACTGTTTGCATCGCCATGATAGAAAAATAATATAATTTTACTTAAGCCTTTTCAGGTGTTTTTTTTTAATCTGATTAAAACTTAGACATGTGGTTATGTGATATTGGAAAAATATTGTTCATACATCCATTAAAAATTTCACTTCTTCTCGTACCTGTTAATGAAAATTTTATATTATTAGGATTCGGATTGTCATTCTTTGTATATGAAAATACATTTTAGTATCTATATATATAATTCCCTTCTGGGAGACGCTAGAAAACAAGCTGTAAGCGCGCTCCATACCACCCCACCCCTACATGGTCTGGTGAGCTGTGGTTCACGCTAAATGTTTACAAGCAGAGCCGGGTTTAGTGACGACTATTAGGGGCAGATAATTTAGTTTGAAACGATTTAAAACGTAGGAGGGTGGGGTAACTAAGTGGAGTTTAACGGAGCTAGTTATAGTGTTTTAAAGAAATATTTTCAGTGGCAGCGTTGGTACTGTCGAATTCACAAATTATGAATTACTGAAAAGTAGAAAAAAAACAACAACTAAATAGCTGCGTGTGATATGCGGCGGGTCGGCTCGTTAAATTTAAAATGTAAAATTGAGAAGGCTAAAATATTAGCCTGGTACCCTATCACGGAACTGTTCCACCATACCAACACATGTCCAGGTAAAACAAACCTTCCTACCCTACACAGGTGAGAACGTGCTGTTGGAGTCACCAGACAAGGTCCAGCTGACCAACTTCGGACTGTCCAAGATCCTCCACACACTGACCAATGCCAGGTCAAAGGTCGGCACGTCCTACTGGATGGCGCCTGAGATTATCACAGGAACAGAGGGGGAAAGCTATGACGTCAGGGCGGATATATGGTACATACGTTTTACAGAATTTTAATGTGATAATTCCCAGTTTTAATTTGAGACGGACTGTTTATAGATTTAAAGCAAATTTATTAAAGTGTAGAAACATTACAAATTTTAAATGCAAAAGAAATGCATATTTTGATCTAATTGTAGCCTGTTTAGTAACGATGTCAATCTCCACACATTCGTTAAAAAGAGTTATACATCGCACAATTTTATTAAATTGTATTGGTTAACAAAAACGAACCCATTCGAGACATTTGGCAATTATTCATTTAAAACGCATCTCTTAGATAACTTTTTAGATAATTCTCTACTAGTATATTGTGTGTATGTCAAACAATGTATAGCATTCATTTAGTAAATATGCAGTGTAAATTTCAATGGATCAATATACCGTATTGTATTGCATTTTTCAGATGATCCAATAGTTATTTTATTGTTATGTTTATATCCAGGAGTTTAGGATGTACAGTCGTCGAAATGTCCACAGGAAAACCACCATTTGGTGACATCGACCCAGTTGATGCGGCTTATAAGATCGGCATGGGTGAAGAAATGGACTACAAGTTGCCGGAAACAACATCCAATGATATGCTACAATTCTTGGAGAAGACTTTCCAGAAGGATTTTAACAACCGTCCAAGTGCTGAAGAGCTTCTTAATGCTGACCCATTTCTAGTAGTAGGGAATGTGTAGGTACGGTCCATTTGTAGATGCAGGAAATTTCAGATTGCATTAGGCGTGAGCATCAATGGATTGTTTTTGGGTAGAACGAAAATCTGTTAACGTACTTGAGCTTATATCCCAGTCGCAAGAAACTTCATGCGTGGTTTACGTAAACTGGCCTCATTCCAAAAAGTATTCTTAAAATTGTATAATGTAATTATTTTCTGTGATATGTTGTGATATTTTTCCTTGCCGATATTTGCCGATACTTGTAGTCGTTTTAAAAAAAAATAGTTTGTAGATTGTTGATTAGTCTGTAAGAACGTGGTCTAGGACATTACACCCCACCCCATCGTCAAATACCCAAACCTCTGTCAATTACCACAACCCGATCTAACATATATATATATATGTATATATATATATATATATATATATATATATATATATATATATATATATATAGTTCTATAGAAGATGAATTTGTAAAGTGTTGTCATATAAATTCCAAACAGATAAAAATGTCCATAGATATCTTCTTCTTCGTTCTTAATTTTTAGTGTTGGAAGGGATTGAGCCTTATCTGCCAGAGGGTTTGAACTCGAGACTTTCGAATTTAACAACCACGAGCTTTGTCGACTCGACCACACCTCCAACTCAATTAAATATACGTGTCAACTGGCTATGCGTCTTTGAGGCCATTGACTTCGATTTTAGCCTGCTTTTATATTTCTATTTACTTTCATAGCCTTTGTCCAACCAAGAACAAACTACAAGGCAGCAGTTGTTTGATTTTTGAGTTGTCTCTCCTAGAAGAGTGGCTGTTCACAGCTAACGAGCCTCATCTGCCCAAGGGTTCAAACTAGAGACTTTTCGGTTCAGCAACCATTAGCTTTACCGACTCGACCACGCCGACCTCTTCCATAAGAATGTAAAATATCATTTTATATTGTTCATTTTAATGAATGCTTGTAAATTTGGATTTCATTTTAAAATATAACGTTTTTAGCGGGGGTAAGTGGTTATTATCCAGGGGGTAAGTGATAGTTAGGTGATTACTCAAGGAGGAACTTACTTAATACTCGTCACTCAATGTTGAGTAATACTCGTCACTTAATGTTGAGTACAGGGCAGCAACAAAACTTCGTCATCCAATTCTGTCCTGGGCGAGCCACTTTAATTCATTCCAGGTCTTGCCAGTAGCCTTTACTTCTTCCATCTCTCATTTCCATGTTCCCTGGAGTCTCCCTCTCTTTCGTTTTCCAGGTAGATTCCATTGTAGCGGGAGTCTCCTTTCGTTCATGCAAAGGACATGGCCCAGCCATCGCCCTATTTGGGTAGTTTGATGATGATTGCCCGTTTCAATGAGTCTGGCACTTTTTCTTCATTCCATACTTTGTTGATGATCCCTGTTAAAGTTTGTACACCTATTTTTGGGTCTGCTTTTAATACATCGTCAGTGATTCTGTCCTCTCCTGGAGTCTTATTGCTTTTTTTTCTTGTTCTGAGATGGGTTCTCTAGATATTTCAAAGTGTATGTTACTGTCAGTGTAGTTAGCAGTTTTTTCTGGGTCTGGTCTGTTAAAGGGTCTCTGCAAAGTATTCTGCCCATCTTTCCAGTTCCTTTATTTTTCGTTGTGAGAATCCTCCCGTTTTTGTCCTTTATAGTGGATGATTTGTTTGCTATTCCACATGTAAGAGTCCTGATGATCTTGTAGACTGTTCTGCTCTCTCCCTTATCAGCTGCAGCCTGTGCTTTTGTCGCCATGTTATCTCTTATCAGTCCTATCTATATCGGCACCCCGTCAAAAGAGCGCACGACAAAAGAGCGCCGACATAAGAGCGCAGTCAATTAAAAAACATATGTTGTACGCTAAACGAATAGGACATGGTTAACACTTGTTTTAATTAAACAATCGGCAAGAGAACAACGTCTTTATTTATATTTTATGGTTAATATGTTATGAATGCAGTTTGACAATATTTCTCTTTTGTCTGCGCTATTTTGTCGGCGCTCTTATGTCGTGCGCTCTTTTGACGGGTCACCATCTATATCTATATCTAATCCATATCTATATCTATAGTCATATTTAAGAAACTCTACACGCAAAACTCTTTTAAGATTAGACAAATATAATAGTCCAACATTTCAGTTTTTATTATGGAGTATCGTCATTACTTTTATGGGTTTTTTTTTTGGGCAATGTGTCTCTAGAATCAATATGTGTACTTTTCCGGCTGTAGAATATTTCCTACTATACGTTGCATGTGACAGCACGTTTATTTTTCCGTATGACTGTGAAAGTTTTTAATTTTCTTTTGTTTTTTCTATAGCGTTCCCAACAGATAGATAGATAGACAGACAGCCAAACTATTATTCTAGATATCCATATATATTTCTTTATCAGTTCTATAATTTTTTTAAACAATTTTTTCTCCAATATTGTTCATAATTTTTAATTTTGTTTGCCATTCTCTTGGTGAGCAATTCATTTCTTCCTACGAGATTCTATTCTATTTTTAAAAGTTTGAGTAACTAAGTCTATATCCCGCGTAGCCTCCCCCGGAGTGTTAATATTGTTATATAAGAATATTTGAGAAAGTTTAGGGGAGACCACTCCTGGTTTATTTATAATTAATTAAGCCGTGGTAGTTTGTACATTCATGGTTTTTCAAGTGAAGCAGGGGCGGAACTACAGTGCCGCCAGACCCTGCAATGCGGGGGGGGGGGGGGGGGCTCCATTTAGGGGCCCAGAGCCGACCATAATAAAAAAAATTATAGTTAAAAAAAAAGTAAATTTTCTTTCATTTTTGACTTGATGGTTGTTATGTACAAAATTACCGTAGCTGCGGTTGGATTATAATTATTCTATAGACCCCACTTCACGCTCTTGTATATTCTTTTTCCCTTTATTTTTAAACCACTGTGAAAGCCGAGTCTTTCTCCTACAATTAAACTTATCAAAGATAAGCAAACGTTCAAACCACTTCCATGACCTATTTACTTTTTTAATAAAATAGTCAAATAGGGGTAATCCAAAGCTCTTTTTAATAGATTTGTACTAAACAAATTAAAAACCAATTACTTCTCTTAATAATTATTTTTTATAAGTAATTACTAAAGAATGACAATGTTTAAAAGGAAAATGTATTAAATCAATAACATAAAAAAAATTAATAATATAAATAAAAAAACATAAAATAAAAATAACACGAAACACCATTACTTATACAAAGCTTTCATGTTTTATATTATTTTGACCGACGAGGTGTTAAGTGGGTTCCTATCAGAAATTAATTAAAACTAATTTTCACAAAACACACTTATGCACTTACACACTTGACATGATGTTGCAATTTTTTAAAATTATGTTTTTCAAACCCTGAACAGGCCAGCAATAAGTATCCTATGTTCGTATTTTGTGGTTGTTTATATATATATATATATATATATATATATATATATATATATATATATATATATATATATATATATATACACATATATATGCATATAGGCCTATATATATATATATATATGGGGGGGGGGGGCTAATCAAATTTTACGGGGTGGCCCTTTTTTCTAGTTTCCGCCACTGAAGTGAAGTGGTTCATTTATTACAGTCCAAAACATTTGTATCCATACTTTTCAGAGTTTAAATAAAGGAAGTTTTATTGACAGTGTATAAAGTCTTTGATAATGTGTTTCATATTAAATTATTATTCAAAAACACAACCAATTGTTTGTACGAATCTTTCATATATTTCGTTTTTTTTATTTAACAAGAACATATTCAAATGCTGCAGTGTTGTGAGGCATATAATAGTGTCAAACCTAACCCCCACCCCCCACCCCGAAAAAAAAATTATATATATATATATATTTATCTCTCTCTCTCTCTATATATATATATATATATATATATATATATATATATACTACCGTACCAGCCCCCGCGCGTTGCCGCGGGGAGAGAATAAAATCTGACGAAATATATAGAAGGATATCACCAACGCTTTACCAATCATATGTTCTTAGGCGCGTGACCTTCTTTTCTAAAAATGAGTTATTTAAATGTTAACAATGCCTGCGATTGGATCATAAATATCAGTAAACGGGTTTACCTACACTAATGCATGAAAACCTTGAGTGTACATTAATCACTCACCGAAATAATACGGTAGAACACACTTCAGTGACCGCCCATGTGTCAGAGACGTAGAGGCCCGCTCTCAGGAGCCCTTTCACCCCCCTTCCCCCCGATTACTCTACCGCATAGGCGCGGCGTACGATCCCTGGCTCATTAAAATAGCATCCTGTTAACAATGATGCAGATTGCGTCGTTCACTAAAGTGACACAAAATAACAGGATTTGTTATTTAACACGTAAAAAAAATATTTGACGCGTATTAAACATCAGTGTGACTGATGCAAGATGGTCTATTCTTAGATGCTCGATCTCTGACGAAACTGTTTGGATTTTTTTACGGACAAAAAGAAACATCCCAGTTAATAATCTAACCTTGGATAATTTTTCTGATTATTAAAATAAAACGTATTACATGGCCCACAGCGGTACATGTGAGACTTTGGGGGCCGAAACAGACATTTTTATTTGCAGCCTTTTAATCGCACCCTGCCAGGGCGCCAGAGGACACGCCTGATTCAATTTAGTAAGCGTTTGTAACGCCCTATCCTATCCATTGTCTATCACACTGTTTAGAACGAACGTAGTTACCATAGCGCTCACGGGAAAGACCAGGGCGCCAAATCGCATCCTGCCGGGGGGCCGCCATTGCAAAATTAAATCCCCCGCCCCCACCACCCAACCACCCCTATTCCCCCCTCCCACCTCAGAAACCTTCTCGGGAGTATTCATCAACTCCCTTAAGTTTTATGGCACCGGGATAAATTGCGTCAAACCGCAATCGTCTTTTATTTTTATATACCGTACATTGAGAAAAATGATTTTTTACAGAACCTTTACCTGGAGTACTCTAATCTAGTCCTAAAGTTTGATGGCTACAGG